TCTACGAGCTTATCGATTATCCATATATATATATATATATATATATATAAACATTGTAGATCCATGTGATTTGCAAAAGTAAAGTTTTTTATGCACAGTTTCAATACTAAGAACTTTCCTTACCTGCTGATGGTGGTTGTTCTGAAACAGAACCTCTCCTACTGATGTACGTCTCTGACAAAAAAAAAATGGCAGAAGCCACCACATAGAGGTATGGGAACTGCCACGTCATCTAGCTATCGGTCGAGACCCATGACTAGACTCGGCCGACCGGGGAAACCGGCGGGTAGGAAGCGTATTTAATCGGAGGTTTATGCTTGATGTGACCATCTCCGATAACAAGTGATTCTTCACGACTGCTTATTGTTAAGGAGATGAAGAACGCTAGTAAGAGAGAGACCGATGCATCGAACTCAACCGAGTGAAGTCCATCTCCGAGTGAGACTAGTGTTAATGTCGGCTTGTCACTTTCCTGCAACAACCAAAGTGGGGTAATATACTCTTCTTGAATCCATTGAATAGTAGGAATCAGATCTTAGTGAAAAGAGTTTTGAGTGATCTTGGTATTATCTCCAATTATATTCATTATAGAATCCAAAACTCTAACAATGCAGATTCTTTCATTTACCAAACAATCGGGTCAGGGAAGAAGAAAAGTACCTGATCAAAGAATTGAAAGCTGTTTCCGTTGCTTGTGCGAGGTTTCGAGTTCGACCCTTTGGAGAAATGGTTCGAGTGTCCATAGGAAAGAACGCGAAGTTTGCAACCTACGTCCCAACCGCCGCAATCGCACGTTCCACCGGATTTCCAACGATCAACCAAAGGCAAAAGGGCATTCCCGTCTTTTGGCAGAGTGTGGATCCCACCAGGGAGTATGATCTTTGTGTTCCAATCACTGTCAGGGTTAGATGAGCAGTCCATCTCATCAACAATGGCTGCAACCTCCATAGTTTGGTCTTCATGGTTTGTCTCAACGTCTAACAAAACGGATTCTGATTTCCGAGTGGTGAAATCCGATGAGAAAGTGGTTGAAGTCCTCATGTGACCGATGATCATGTATGTAAAGCCATGGCTTTTGTCTTTGTTCCCTTGTCCTAATAACCAGCCTGCACTCTTTTTTCTTACTTCTTGTACGGAATAGAAGGTGTAAAACTTTGTGGAAGAATCTGAACTCTTCAGGGTGGCTGCGAGGACATTGTTGTTATTGTTGTCAACCACAAACTGAAATAAGTGGACACCTTTTCTTTCAGTGAACTGCAATAGAGCTCGGACTGTTGAATTCTCCTGCTTCATCTTCTTCTCGTTTTCAGGTGATTTGTTTGGCCTCGGGTTTGGGACACGGGTTTCGTGATTAGGTTTCAGTAAGGGGTCTATCATTCTCCGCAAAGGACTGGATTTAGTCCTGTTGTGGCCTTTCTGTTTTCCATTGCTGTAAACTGAGGTGCCAGATGTTAATAGACCCGATTTAGCAACAACGTGAGGTGGGCTTGATGACGAGGGGACGGATGAAGTTTCCTTGAAGCTGAAACTTCTACCCATCTGGCTAAAACTGAAGCTAGAACCTCGGTTAGGCAACGCATGTCTTCCTCTTCTTGATACCACTTTGGGTATTTCTTGGCCCAACACACATGGATTCCCGACACTTTTTTGGTTTCCATCCTCTAAATATATCGGTTTTGAACATTTACCTTCCGTATCACCACTTCCATTGTCTTGACATTCAACCGTTTTCGATGCTTCAGATGATAATGGCTCCGAACTGGTTTCAAGCTCTGCATTTGTCTGATGGCTGAAAAGTAGAGGGCATGAATGAGGGATTCTCGATCTAAGCTCAGAGGAGTGATTATCCTCTTGACGGAGAAATTCCTCAGAGGAGTGATTATCCTCTTGACGGAGAAACTCTGTGGAGACTTTGCTTTGCATTTCCTCTAACAGATTCTTATCCAGAGAAGCTTGATGTTTTTCCCCGTGACAGTTTGCAGCATATTTATTGGGTCGGAGAAGAACAATGTTTTTCGGCTTCCTTTGTTGAGATTGATGAGAAAGGTCGATTTCAGTTGTCCCGTTTGATGTGCTCTCTTCAGTTCTGAAACTTGCTTTTAGCCATTCAGCGTTAGACACATCCTCCTTGCCAGATTGTATAGCAGCAGTGTGTAACGTTAAAATCTTGTCAAACCTTTTCTTGTTTACATCTGCTTTAACCGCCGTTGGCTCGGTTCTCTTTTTGGTACTAGTATCAATAGCATTTGCATATTTTCTCGACCTAAGTGTGAGACTGTGATGTCTCGTGTCCGGAGAGAAGTTCTCAAGCCTTGGTCTAAACTTCTGATCTAATTCCAATTTTCTGACTAACCTGCCTGACAAACCAGAGTAGTCCCGGTTGAAGGAATCAACATCCCACGGTACCCGTTTCTTCTCTTCCCACTTGCCCTGACAAGCAGATTCATATTCTCGAAAATGTTTGGACTTGTGGGATAAACTAGCACCAGAACAGGTAGAAAAGTGATTCCCTTCTCCATAACCACAGCTAGTTGCAGAAACTGAGCTCGAACGGCTCAGTGAAGTGAAGGCAGTTTCCTCTGAACTAGTAATAACGCCACTGGATGAAGCATCACTAAGCAATGATCCTTTGGTTTCTTCAGCGGCAGTCTGCTTCCATCTTTCCAAGCGTTCCCAATCCAGAACCCCTACACTCAGGGCCTTTCCTTGAAAATTTTCTGATCTCTCCTTTCCATGGAGATATCCTGGAGGATTCAACATGTACCTCACGACCTCATCCTTGTTCATTACTTTGCCCTTTTCACAATCTCTAACTTTTGCATCATTACGCGCTTTTCCTTTAAACCTACCTCGATGCTCTACGCTTCCACGCGATTGACACGACGGAAATCTATCCTCAGACATCTTAGAGACTCATTGGTGTGTCGTGTTTGCCTGAGCGCGAGCTCGTAAAATCTGCAGCCTCAAAGCAATCACAATAAGAGATGATTCGATTCCACCATTCAGGAAGACTGGATCCCCTCTAATAAGTGCATTATAGCCTCCTACAATGGAAAACACAAGGTGAGAGGATGACCACACTCTTCTCTTTGGCTTTCCTTTCAAATTTAGCCCAGCAAAGATTATCCAATTCCAACATAGCATTCAAATTCACGCGAGAAAAAGCACGATGGAGATGAATAGACGCAATCATACGCAATTCTTAGCAATGTCGTAAAACGAATCCAACTGTAATTTTCCAGATCTTCCATGAGGCACTTCGTAAAACAAATCCGATTGTTCTTCAGATCTAACCAAATGATAGAGGAAAAAGTGTAATTTCACTACAACCTCCGGTTACCAGCTGCAAATGGCATCGATCGCCAAATCAACGATGAAAAAAAAAAACACGAACCTCACATTTTTCCCTCTCCATTTTCCTTGCAGCCAAACAGATGATCGGCGATGAAAACAGAGAAAAGTTGGATCGCGAAAAAAATCCCACTCGGAGAAACAGGGATTATGAAGATCACATACCTGCGAAGAATCCAGAGAAAATCGGATATTCTGGAAGAGAAGATAAGAAGAAACTTGGAATGGCGCGAAAACTCCGAAGCGGAGGAAGAAGACAGTCAATGAAACGGAGAGAATCGCAGACTGAGCACTTCATACACAGTATCAGTTATTTTGAGCTCATTAACTAATTAATTGCTTAATTATTCCACAAGTAAAGTAACTTAACATTTTAATTATTATATATATATATATATATATATAAAAGATGGCAAATGTATTGTTTTGATCGGACGGTCAAAAAGAGAGGTTAGGGTGACGGAGGGCCCACGTGTCATTATTTAATGGTACGAAATCCCATGCGTAGCAATGGGACCCACTTGTTCCCATCATAACGAACCCCCCTCTCTTTTTTCCAATACGGGAGTATGTACATCCACAATCTATAATTACAAAAAAGGTAAAAACAAATTATATCCAAATTTGTCTTTTAGACAATTAGACAATCATAATTTCCTATCACCTCCATAAAAAAAAATCCAAGGCATGTGCCTTTTTTTGGGCAATACAGATTTTAAGAACTTTGTTTTTTGTTATTTCAGGACAGAATGGTTTTATATGAATACGAGTCTAAAAGGGTATTCACACGTTTGTGTTTTGGTAGAGCTTGTAAATTTTAATTCGGATATACAAAATTGATTTGGGATAGATGGATACATACATATATCATTAAATTTTTGAAAAATTGATTCTTTATAACTTTTTTAAAAAATAATTAAAAATCAATACTTTTTTTTAATAAATAAAAATCGAAAGTTATGATATGGGATAGATACATTGGAATTTTTTTAAAAAAAAAATTTGACGGCCCTTTTAGTCTTTTTGAAAATCGAATTCCAAGTTTAAAAAATGCCAATAAAGAAAAAAAAAGTATTGTTCAAACTTGTTAAGAGGGTTCTTTTTTGTTTCATGTTAGCTTTATCCTACCCCATAATAAAGTGTTGAGTTTTATTTCTTCATAAACCCTAAAATTAGATTCTCCTCCTCAGTTTGGAGTAAAGGCCATAAATTTTCAAAGGAATTTCGAAATATATTATACGAGATCTCTCTCTACTCCAGAAAATAGGTGTATATATGCCTCACTATAAACATGTTTTATAAAAAATAAAAATTTGACACACAACTACATACATTTTCCCAAAAAAAAAAATTTAATTTCAATTTAAAAAATTATATCCAATACATATTTTAAAATATAATTATATATTATTTAAAATTCTGTTGTTATGGATTCCAACACTATCCAAAATCCACGTGCTGACGTATGTATTATGGGCCTTAGTGATATGATTTATTCCAATTAAAAGGGCCCATAATAAGAAGCTTATAGCCTTGATTGGGCCTATTTTGGCCCAATGATATTTCTCTGGTTATAATTCGGTATTTTTGGTTTTAAATTGTTACTCAGGAAAAAATAACTGAATCCCAAAGTCACGTTTATTACTTTTTTTTTACGATAAATATGTAAAAAAAACGTGGTTTTTAGCCGTTAAATTTTAGTAAATACGTTGAAATATGAAAATTTTTAACATAAATAGTGGAAAATCTATTAATTACATATAAATTCACATAATATGTATACTCTAATAATACCAAAAAAAATATGTATCCTCTAAATTGAAATTCTCAAACTTGTAATTTGAACGAAATTTTTATTCAAGGTGCAGCTTTCGGAAAGGAGAAAAAGAGAAGAAAAATCCGACAAGCAAATCTTGAAATTTCTCTTTAGGATTGCTTCATGAAATAGACATGGCATATTATAATTTGTGGGGTACCGAAAAGAAATTGAAATATCAAATATCTTCCTTATAAGAACCCTAAAATCCAATCTCATCACAACACAAAAGACAAAAAAAAACTATGGCGAGCAAAAACGACGTCGTTGGAGCCTGGAACACGACCACAACGCAGACGCAGACGCAAACGCCACACAGGCCGTCGCTGCTACACCCGACGTTTTACTGGGGATACGAATGCGAGGTGCTCTTCCATGGCTGGCCAGACTCGAGCCGCGGAATGTATGCGCTCGCCATCATCTTCGTCTTCTCGCTGGCCTTCTTCGCCGAGTGGCTCACTCGCTGCTCCGACGCAGACGCCATCTCCGGCGCCGACAAGCTCGCCAGGACGGCGTTCCGTACGGCGATGTACGGAGTCAGGTCGGGGTTCAATTACCTGGTCGTCCTCGCCGTCGTATCATTTAACGGCGGCATTTTTCTGGCCGCCGTTTTCGGACACGCACTAGGGTTCGCCGTTTTCCGTGGACGGGCGTTTCGGAAAACGGGTCGGGTGGATGGGTAGGATCCCGGGTGTATCCGAACCCGAAAACAACAACAAGAGAAAGAGAGAGATTTTCTGGGCTTTGGTTTTGTTCTTTCTATCTGATTCTGATTGAATAAAAAGAGAAACTCAAATTCATTCATTTTTGTCTTTGATAAAATCGCCTGTGTTGTTCCTTTTTTTTTTTTTTTTTGCATTAAGGGGATACATATATATACATATATATATATATATCATTTATTGCTCTGCTAATATAATATATAAATATTTAATCTGGTTTTTCTCCAGCTAAATAATCTTTTTTAAGACGCATTTAGCCCTCTCGTTATGCAGCGGGCAAGCAGCAACACACGACGTCGTTTCTGTGTATTTCTCTAAGTGAACTTGGAGCTGAAGAAGTTGAAGAGGAGGATGCCGAGCAAAGCAACGCCGAGCTGAAGGCCTATCTGGAGGAACACATTCACCAGAATGGGCCATACCTTCTCTCTCCAGCTTCTCTTCGTTTTCGATATTCTATCTTCTTCTTCTTCTTCTTCTTCTTCTTCTTCTTCTTCTTCCTCCTCGTCTGCTTTCTCCTCGCTGATTTCTCGGGACGACTCGCCTTTCGTTTCCGTTATCACTTCGGATATTTCACCCGGTTTCTTGTCAAAGAGCCCTTTAAACTGTTTTCTCGCCTTCTTCTCCACTTCCTGCAAATGACACTTAGCTCATCGATACTGACAGGAAACAGTGTTTGGTTCTCCAGTCCGGCCTAGTTATTATTATTGAATCGGAAGTCCTAACTTCAGTTAATAATTACATGCCCGAACCGGCCTGAACAGAATAACACAACCATATCTGAACCGAATCCGATATAAAAACCGACCCAAACCGAAGAAACCCGAATTTGTTTTTGAAAACAGAAAAAGAAAAACAGTACTTCTATTTACTAAAACCCAATGGTTATAGTTTCTCTAAAACAGAAATAACCGAACTCGAATACAACCGACCCCAACCGAAACCCGAAACGACCACACCCACGGGATCTTAAATCAATTACCCGGTTAACTGAATAGAGAAACAAAAAAGGCAAAAAGCTAACCTGTTCTTTCTGCTTCAGTTTCAGAAGGGCGGATGTCGCATCGGGTTCTGACGACTTGTCGACTTTAATCATCTGATGAAGCCCGATTAAATAGCGTTAGCGGAATGAACATGGACGTCGGTACGTAACCTCGGGTTAGGCTAATGAAAATATATAATCACAAAGTTTGATTATAAAAAAAAGAACAACACAAGTAATGTCAACCATGATACCATGTTAAAATCATTTCTAGCATCCTCGTATTCACCACCGGCCATGTAAGCCATTCCACGTCGATACAGACCCTTTACATGTCCAGGGTTTGCCTCTAGAACCTGCATTGGGAGGTTCAGAAGAAAAAAAAATGTGCATAAACTTTGAAGAGTTGAGAAGTATCAGAGAAATGGTCTATGAGGTCGTACCTTATTACATGTCTCTATAGATTTCCTCCATTCTCCAAGTTTAAGCAAACAAGCCGCAACATTCAGATTTAACATGTTCTTCCAAGGATCACAGCAAAAAAACAAAACAAAAAAGTACAAAGAACAAGTCAATTAATAGAACAATCTTATGTTCTAATAGCATGTTAAGAGAAACACCGACAATAAGAGAAATTACTTCATCTCTAACTATGCAAAATATTGTACGAGCACCATAAACTTACTCGGGTCTCGGCAAAAACCTTTCCTTCCTCGTTATCTTGGGGGTTAACATGATTGAATTCCCGGAGCACCTGTTTTTGTTTTTTGTTTCACCGGTTTGAAACAAGTATACAATAGCAAAAAACACCGAGCTGGAAGGATTGTGCTTTACATTAGTTCAGTTCAGAACCTCTTATTACTAACCTTTTCATACTTAGCTTTCGCCAGTTCAAACTTTCCTTCCTTGAAAAGACCATTACCCTGAAGAGAAATGCTCACAAATGAATATTAAGAGCACAGATAGGCTTTGAGTCTTTTCCCGTATAACAAAGTTCTGAACCTAACACAGTAACTTGAAAACATACCGTACTTCTGATCTTTTCTGCTTCATCCATTATACTCTGGAAGTTCAATCCAGTCCAGTCCTGAGACAAGAATTTGCAACTCATGCACAAGAACAACAACGGGTTTCCTTTTAAATTTGGTAAAAATAAGCACAAGAGACAGAACTTACCCTTGGCATTTCAAATCCGAGAAGTTCAATCTCCCACTGAACATGGGCACCTTCAGGAACACCAGCCGGCCTAGTTATGTCAGGGAGGATACAATCAAACCGTGTGACTTTATCCGACAAGAATTATATATAGACATCAATCATGTTGAATGTCCTTTAGAAAGTTACAAATTGACCTTGGAAATTTGTCATATGCATAATCAGGGGGGGAAGTAACTAGGGCAACCTCTCCAGGTAGCATCAAACGAACACACATCTCAAATCCCTCAGGGACCTGCAAGTAAAAACCCAACCACCAAAAACTTTTGAAGTTTCCGTATGTTTTATAATGTCGGAATCAAAACAGTGTACAGAGCATCGGTAAGTTCTTTCAGAAGTTGGAGAAACTGACCCGTCCTTCTCCAGAACTGAACTCCAGAGGCTGACCGTTATTGTCAATTCTGGAATCATAGAAAACAGTCTTCTCTTCATTGAGAAGCATCCCCTTGTAGTGGACACTTAACCGACTGTCTTGAAGCGGGCAATCCATCGGAAACTCGCCTAACAAGAAGGTGAGACATTGCAAATGAGAATAATCTATCAACAAGACGAAATTTATAGAGAACAAGATATGGAATTTATCGGATACCCTACAATCAGATTATCAGATTCAAAACCATTCAACAGAAAGTAGAAGGCAGTACCTTTTCCATCACGAATACGACGCTTTATGAGACGTCCATCTCCAAGCATGTCCCGCACCTTAAAAATGAGAACTTGAAATCAGATCTCCAACCACCGTCTCTCTCTCTCTCTCTTATCTTAGACACACAAATAATTACGTAATAAAAGGATCATATTTTTCTTCTTTGCTTTACCTGAATGAAGTGGACCAGTTCCACCTCAAAATGAACTTCTTCAACCCCTTCATTTATATGCATCAAAGGAGATTCGGTCAAGTATTGGTCGCTAACATATATTACTGCCTTCTCTTCCTGAGCCATTGTTCCAATTCCCATTTCAAGACCTTTCGGCACCTACCTAATCGATAAAAAATATAGTCAGCACGACAACTGAAGTAATGTAAGCGGAAAACGACTGCAAACAACCCACCTCAGATTTTCCAAATGTGAAAAAATAAGGCTCTCCTTCAGTATGGGAAAAGATCACTTTTCCATCTCCGGATTTAGCAGATATCCTAAAATAGAACAAAACAAATCCTTTTAGATAAGAATGAAAGTTTGTGTTCAGCATGGAAAACAACTAAATATGAAGCTGATGAAGGAGTTGCTTGAAAGACCAAGAGCTTGTTACCAAGCCCTAATTTCATAGGGTTCTCTGGGAGTTTCCCAGCCCTGGCCTTCCTTCTCTACCTGCCCATGTGAAAGGAAAATAACGGTGAACCAATCAGGAGGAAGCAAGAAAGATTTGGCAATGTCACTCTAGTTTTTGCATATTCTCCATGATGCTACCGATTTACAGTGTGCCCAACCAAATCATATAACAAGAAAAATGGAAGACCAAAGCTTACCTTCTTTACAACACCCAAATCATCGCTGACAACCTGAATATTACCAAACAGGAAACAAGATCTTAAGATATAAATAAATTACACTCATTCCAACAGATTGAAGTGCATAAAATGCAGATTATTTCAGCTTGCGATGGGATCATACCTTGACTTTTGAAAATTCCATCAATTCAATCTCAAAGTGAAGCTCATCATCCTTCGGAAAATTATTCGGGGCTGAAACCGGACAATCCACTTCTGCATAGTGCATTTTGGGTTTCATCTTGAACTGAAAGCAAAAGATTGACCTCTTAATGCGCAGAAACCCAGTGAAGGATTATGCATAACCAAAATTACATGTGACCAAAAGGAAATTGAAGAAATCTTATTCAAACAGCAGACCATGAAACCAGGAGAAGAGACAGATATCAACTCCATGGAAGACAAAACAGAGAAGAGTTGGAACTAGAATGAATATGTGTATCGTTCAGAATACCATCGCAATTTCACCCTTCTGCATTGTGGGAATTCCTTCTAGCAATCCAAGAATCACTTTGCTCTTCCCCAATACATTCCTTATCGGTATACCTTTGCCTGTTACAGTATCGAACCATGGATCAAAACCCTAAAAAACTCGACCACAAATCTATCATCGATCTACATAATTGTAATCTCACCTCCATACTCGGACCTTGTGGACTTCACAACAACACCATCCAGTGTCCGAACAGTGCAGTGATAAGTCAACTGAGAAAATGCGAATGCATCAAAATTTTCCATTTTGTCTCTTTGTACAACACTCCCCCCCCCCCAACAAAAAAAAACTGTTTCTTCCATGGCAAGAAACATACAATTATTCCTTACCTGATCGCCATTCGTGGGGCTCGATTCACCTCCCCCAGGCCTCACCACCGCTTTCATCAAGCTCCCAGGAACAATTTTCTTCCTCCTGATCGAGAAACGATTCCCAGTAACACAAAACCATTACCCTATAACCCTAAAAACGTCAATTCAGATCCAGATTTCCTCAGAAGTTGAACGAAACGAACCTCTTTTCGTCCTCCGATTCGGACTTCTTCTTCTTCGGCGCGTAATCTTGTCCCATTTCATTGCCCACCGCCATCGCTGTTCAAACCCGCAGCTCCACAGCGAAATCAAACACGAAATCAGAAAATCAAGCTCGGCGAGAAAGATCTCCAACTGTGAAACGAAAGCCCTACGCAAAATCCCAGAGGAAATTGCCGATTCCACTCTCTCTCTCTCTCTCACGTACTGGTTTAGTTCAACAACTATGGGTCAAATCAGTCAGCGAGAAAGATAATGCAAATCCGACGGCTAATATTTGATCATCAGTGCAGCCAATCACAGCCGTTGATCTATCCCCGATGAAGCCGTTTCCGTTCCCTTATGGGTCGCAGCCAAATCTTAATGGGCTTGATACGGATAAGTGGGCTTTCATTAAGGAAAACGGCCCACTAAAAATATATACATACAAATCCGAAAAATAATTTAAAAGTTTATATTTAAAAAAAAAGAAACAAGTAAATAATTTCAGAAATGTTTACTTTCATGTGTACAAAAAAAAAACTGTTCAGTAAATGTCCGAAGAATGGTGGTGGTCCTGAATTTTTACTACACAACAAAAAATGAAATGAAAATTCGGTGAGATGGTTAGTTGCGGTTAGTTGAGCAAATGTTGTGCTTTTTGAAATATTCTACATGTGAAATTTAATTCCATCCATTTTCGGCATTTATTTTTATTTTCCGCCATAAAATCCAACAAAAAGGACAGTGGTTGTAAAATTGGTCACCCTAAAATAAATAGGTTCCTAAATATAAAGCAGCATTTATGGATTTGTACCATGTTTTTGTTACGAATAAATCATTTTAATGTGTTACGCGGTTAAATTTTTGCATTCAAAAATTTAAACGGAATGAAAATTGTATAATCAATTTCCATAAAAAATAAATACAATGATAAAGCTTTCATTTCTTACAATGCATACAGATCCAAATTATACCTCTCGAATAAGTTGGTTTGGTATCAAAACATGAATCTAATGTTTGATTTTCAACATATACAAACAAGCCATTTATTTAACTTAATTTTAATGGAGGCTAATCTAATGGTATTTGATTTAATAGATTTTGTATCAGATAATATGATAATAATTTGGTACAAGATAGGAAAATTAAAAAATAGAAACGATATAAATGGAGTCATGTGAAAAAGCAAATGTGAAATTTATTAACAAACAAGTGAAAAAACGCGTGATGATGTCAAAACCAACGGCAGTAGGGCATCCATATGCATGCAGCTCGTGTGAAACCTTTGAAACCGGGATGGGTCCATCATCCAACGTACACAAATCCGCCACGTCATCACACGTGACCGACAAAAGACCCAACCAAACTACCTCTACCGCGCGTGGAAACCACGACGAGCCACGTGGTTCAGCCCGTTGGCGGACGTGAACCGGACGTGGGTTTGGTCGTTCCCAACGTAAATCTGATATTGATATATATACTCAAAAAGATTTAAAAAAGATATCTTCGCAACTGTTATAAAAAATATATATTGAAGAAATTATTTTAATTTTAGTTGGGAACACGTATAGAAAAATTTAAAAACATCGAATTACATCACTCCAATAATACTAATTTAGATATATCTATACGTATCTGGTCATATATTTTTTTCACATCATTTTAAGATTGAAATAAACGTTAAAGACTTATTGTCTTACGAATTTGTTACCATATAACATAATATATATATATAAGCGAATATTTAAAACGTATGGGATTATTAATAATATAACAAAAAGAGACATGAATTTGTTTTTATTGGACACAGATAGGATTAATTTTGATTTTTATTCATTTTTATCCAAGCTAAAACTAATAAAAAATTTATGAGTTATAAGGATTATAATACTAAACCAGATATGTTTATATATAACGTATTTTTTGAAGATTGTCTAAACGAACTAAACATTAAAGACCATTATCTTATATATTTATTACCGTATAAAACTCACAACGCTCCATTATCAACCGTCTTTTGGTACGTTATTGAATTAGTTGCATGTGAGTTGTTTATTAGACACGTTTTTGGTTCGAATGTCGTCTGCAAGATACCGTAAAATTTGCATGACTTATCCACGTCATAAAAAATAATAAAAACGCATATAATATTCGAAATTACCATAACGGCGGTTTAATATTTCAACAGTTTGTGTGTTTGTTTATTTAGAATTTCAGATTTAAAAAAAACCATGTTGATTTCATATTTTTTATAATTTATTTATTTTCTTAATCATTTACTAATAGTCTTTATATTTTTTCTGAACAACATATTATTCGTATTAGTTTACATTGAATTTAAATTATATTTTTACGAGAAAATAAAGAAAAAGAAACACAGAAATGCAAAGCAACGTTGCACCGAGGTCGATTGAGAGGGCATGAATGGGTGCCACGTGTCAGAATAAAAGGGCCGTTTGACAGCTAGGCTTAATGTGGTCACTGAAAGAAAAAGGCCCAATAGGCTTGAAGTCCTTCCTCTCTAAGCAATGTGGGCCCCACACACAAGCCTACCCGACCCGGACCCGGACCCGACCGGAATCACAGCTCAAATTAAATGTAATGGAATTTTAGATACAATAATGTTTTTAAGTTATTTTCTTTTGTTTTGGTAGTCTATGTTGGGGTTTTTTTTAGACATAAATAAATGCACATATTCGGATTTTCTCAAAGTTTTAAAATATTAAAAAAAATACCGATTTTTTAACTGGTACTGAAGTACCTAAATATATGCACATATTCTGATTATTTTTTTTGCCAAAAGTTCAAGAAATAAAAACCCAAAAAAATATATATTTAAAATTAGATATTTTTTTGAACTGATGGTTAATTACTTTTTTTTCTCTCCTATGGTAAATTTAAAAATTCACATTTCCCGCTTGTTCAGAGTTTTCGGAGCATTTATTTTCAAATGAAACTGTTTATAGCAAAAAAAACGATATCCATAACTTAATTAACTAGTAATTTGAAAAAATGATTTGAGTGTTTGAATAATAAGGAAGAAGTTTAATGGCCTCGTGAATAGGAAGAGAATCCTCGGAGCAGTTTACTGACAGAGAAATTACGACTCTTGTTTTTTTTGTCCTAAGCTAATAATGAACTTTTTTTTACTGGATTAAAAAATTACCATCTTGTATAAAATCTTTTTAAGAAAGTTCTCATTCTATTAAAAAAAAATTGGAAAAGGATTGACCGACGGCGACCCTCTACTCAAATTGAACAAAATCGATTTTTTTTTAGATTTTTTTATCTTTTTAATTTTGTATCATATTTTAAATTTTTTATTAAAAATGTTTTGTTTCAATTTTTTCATTCAGAATTTTTCAGATTAATTTTTCATTAAATATCAATCAGAATCTTATTTTTAAAAATATATAACTAAATCTATTCGATTTTGGTATGGAAATAACTTTCCAAGTTTTTAGATTTAAAAAATTCAAAAAATTGATAATCAATTTTTTTAAAATTTAGTTTTTCTAAAAATATGGAAATCTATTTAATCTATTTTATGAAAAAAAATTAATTAAAAACTAAAAATTATATTTTTTTAGATTTACAAATTTATAAAATCCAAAAGTGAAAAATAAAAAACGAAAACAAAAATGAAAAATTAAAACCAAAAATCCAAAATAACCTTTTCAAATCAAAGCTTTGTATATCTATATATAGTAGAAGATATTTTTCAACGAGTGCCCATTTTGGTTAGAAACCCAATACAAATTTGAAACAGCTAAGTAATGTTAGCAAATCGAGATTATTATAATAAATCATTAATTACGAATATGATAATTAAGCCTTTAAAATAATGGCTTAGGACAAGTTTCTCCGTCACGACACTTGGTCAAATCCACTTCTCCACCTCTTCTGTTCCTACCTACATTTTAATATAATTCTAACATATTGTTTATTTATGTGATATTGTTTTTATAATTTTTTTAATATACCTAAATTCGAAATCTGTAGGTAGATAACTTCCTAATATTTAATTCCCCAATTCCTAAAAGTGTTTTATTTAGCTTCCGAACAAGGAAAAATAACAAGCTAATAATGACGGGCCACAAATGCAATATAGCAAATATGATTTAATAAATTTAATACTGTTGAGCCCTTTTTACTAATGTTAATTAGATCTATGTTTTGTTCATAAAGATGGAAACATCACTCTTCTTATGTATTATATAATATTGTTTTATATTTTTCCACAAATTTACCATATTTTACCTTTATATGGTAAATAGATTTTCTTTTTTATTTTTACTTATTTATACAATAGAATCTATAGATAAAAAGAAAACAAAATCGTCTATCCTAACCTAAGAGGAAAAAGGCCGACAAAAAGAGGTGATAAATATTTATTTTATTTATTTATTAAATGCCAGACGATTACAGAAAAAAAAAAGACTTTGTATATTCAAGGAAAATATTATTGAATATATTTATTTTCTAAATGTAAAGATTTTTCGCACAAGACCCCAAAACATATTCCGGAAAAAACATGATCTTTTTTTGCGCCAAAAAGATTGATCAACAATTTTATCGACCTTGCGGTATACTAACTCTATAGATCCGGATGATTATATATCTCATTACTTCAATTAAATAATTAAAATATCAATTTCGAATGACATATTTTCCCATTTTAAATACACCAAGTAATTTTTTTGAATAATTTTAAAATGGATTTATTAGAAAGCAAAAAAGATTCAACATAAATCTTTTTCTTTTATTATTACTTTTCGAAGGACAAAAGGAGAGGAAAGAAAAGATTTAGAGAGTGATATTTCACAAACAAAAAATCAATCTCCCGTCGGCTAACCCATAAAATCAAAAATCAAAAGCCCTCGTCTTTCTTCTGCTTCCTCCTTCCCTTGTTCTACGCCCATCAGTTTACCAGAAAAATATTATTCAAAAGAAAAAACCAAAACAAAAAAAAAAATCTCCTCTCAGGCTCCTATGTCGGCCATTCACGCTGGAACACGGACCAAAACCTCGTCCCTGTCCCTTTCCTTTTATTTCTTCAACCCAACACTGTTCATCTTCTGCATAAACTTGCACCACTATCTATATCCCTAGTTCCAACTATTACACTACTTTTACCCACTACTCCGCACCATCTTTAGAGTTCTATCTTCTTTTTTTCAATCCGCAAAATCTTCAAACCTTTTCATCTTAACCTAAAACACCCAAATCACCCAAACCCAGAAGCCAAAAGATTCAGTAAGACCAGTCGGAAGGCAACCGAATCTCGTTCGATGGCACCACTGGCCTGGTTTCCCCGCGCTTCTGCCCCGACATTCCGCCATTGTTGCTCCTCTGCCTTAACGAGGCATCTACGTATTTTAGAACAAAGTGGGTTAGAAACTGCAGATGTCAAATAAAGTGAGACTGTGTATCGAATCGCTCACCACTAACACCGGCCTGAGGGTGCAATTGAGGCTGCGCCGCCGAGTCGTCCAGGTTCAGATTCAGGGCTTGAGCCACTCTCGCCGGAACCAACACCGTCGAAAGAGCTTTGCAACAGATTACAACTCATCAGCACATTAAGACGAAGAGCATATTGGAATAAAACAGTAACACAATAAATCAATGGAAAAGTGGAGCTTACTCTGCTTCTTCCGGTTCACGGTGGCGGAAGGAGTAGGGGTAATACGGCGGGGCAAGAAAACACCCGTGCCGGTCGACCCACGTTTTCCGGTGGGGTTGCCCAGGAAGACGGCCTGCATGGCTGACCCGTCACGGGGATTCTGCACATGTTGCAGATTAGGCCATGCAGATGGATACAAGCCCACAGAACGTCCATTGTTGGCTCCATTAATCCTTCCTCTGTTCTGCATCACTTGACGGTGCTTCATCATCTGCTGCTGCTTCAGTTGCTGAAACTGTGCCCAAACATAAAGACACACAGGATTTTAGATATTGAAAACAGAGGAAGTGAAACAGAGTATGCATTCGGGTAATTTACCTGGATAGCCTGAAGCTTCTGGTAAGGAAGGGAAGGTTGGTTGTAGTAGCCGGAGCCGATGTTAGGGTTTTTAGCAGCGACGGGAACCGGAGATGGCTTACTGTGCGGACCGAGAGGTCCTCTTCCGCCATGATTGAAGCCATACGGGTCGGCGTTGATTTTCGTCCTGGCCATTTCCTCGGCGACGGCGCAGTAAAGATTCCACGCCGCCGAAGGGACTCGCTCCTGGCAGTTCTGAGCAGACAGATTCCGACAACCGCAACTGACTCCGCCGCCGCAGAGAGTAGATTGCGGCGAACCTGACTGATTCAACCCCTGGAAATCACCGGGAAAAAGGTATTAAACCACAGAAGCTCTCAAAATGGAGAGAAATCGAAAAATAATGAGGAACAGAGAGATATTCTCTGAGGAATACCTTTGAGTAGTCATCTCCTAAGAAATTGTGGTGACCACCAAATCCACCGGACAAATCATCTTCCAAGGTAGAGTTAGCCATCTGACGGATCAACCCAGCGATGTAGTTTTCCTCGTCACTCTCTGTCTCCGCCGAACCGACAAGAGACTCGACCGGAGAGCCGTGACTCGAGTTTAACCCGAGGGCCGCGAACCCAGGGCGGGACTCGTACGGGGACGACAACTTGGACCCACCACCACCACCTTTCCAGAACCCGAACGCGTCACCGTTGTCGATGCCCCTGAACACCTTGTTCTCCTTCTCCATCAGAAAGTTCTCGTCGGAGAGAAACTCAGGAGGAAGCCAGAACTCGCCATCATCGAGTAAACTCGGCTCCATGGTCAGAAAATCAGGAAAAAAACAGATGATATTTAGAGCGAAAGGAAAACGAAAAGGGCAAACGACGGCTTAAGAGAGATATCAGAGGAACGGGTGTGGGTTTTAATGGCGGAGCTTGCTGCTTGTTTAAGGTCCAATTGTGAAAACGACCCTCGATTCTTTTCGTAAGAAATCTCAGGGCCCCAGGGAGAACCCAAAAACCCTAAAAACTCAAGAGATTGAAGAGACTAGTGAGGAGAGATAAACGCCTCGGGAGAGTGAGGTATTTGTAGAGGGAGAAAAAGTGAAAAGACGAGGTGGTGATGGTGGGGGGAAACCGTCAGGGTTTATAAGTCACGCGCTTGATGTCCGCAGGTGATGCCCACGCGCATGGGCTAGTGTAGGCCCACTACTATGGCCATGTATGCAAGTTGTTCGTGGGGCCCACATCGGAAAATCTTTAAACGTCGTTGACTAGCACGTGACAGGGCTTAATATGGAATTTCGGCTCTTTTCCCCGCACGTGCTTTCAGAAATTCCTGAAATGCCCCTCTCGCTGGATTCAGATTTACGCGGCTCTCGTGTATTAATGTTTTTTTAATAACCATAAATGGTTACATTTTAAAAATAAAAGGACATGTGTTTCCGTACATTGAACCGTGTTTCTTTTCATGGTAATTTTATAAAATACATTGAATGAGTCCAAAATGAATTATTTAAAAGGTAATTTTTATTTGTCAAGCTTATCTAGCGGGGTTTGAAACAAACTACCATAAAAATACAGAAAATCCGACGTTATAATTTTTTTCTACATATGAACATTATCTCCCAGGGTTATTCTTGTAATTTGAGTGGCTAATCGGTGTGTCGACTGTCGAGCGCGTGACCCGCTTCGCTTTCATCAATTCCTCGAATGAGGAAATATCGGTTTTGCCCCTCTAAGTTAATTCCGTTGGGTTTCTTCGTGGTGGGGGTGATTTAACGGTGCCGAAACAATGGAAACCAAATATATCTTAACCGCTCTGCACGATGGTATGACGTGGCATGGACACGTGGTGTAATCTGATTAGTTGGATATGTCATATGGACATTTGTCCTATGTAATGTCCACTTGGCATATCAAGGAACGAGATGTGATTCTTCGCGTATAAGTTATTCCCCATTTCCACTAATTTAATGCAAACGAAAAAAAATCTTATGATTTTTATTTGATATCTTTATTTTTATATTTTTCTCATTATTTTTTTGGTGAATTTTTTCATATATTATATAGTTTAACTTGCAACAATACTTTTCGTGAAATTAGTGGCAATCAAATTATAACGGTTATATCTCGGCCAATACGTGGATAATACACGAGTCCCGTTATTTAATCATTTTAATTTAATTATCGTAAAGTTATTTTTTTGTCTATTTCTTTTTACTTGAAATTTCATTAAAAATATTTGCATGCCTTAATTCGATCATTTAATTGTGATAAACGAATTGAAGTTCATTTTTAGGTGGAATTTGTTTGATTTGTAATTATATTTTATTATAATGTTCATTAGATATAATGGATATACAATGTTTAAAGGATTATATAGAAAAACAATATAATTAATTTATGTAAACTGTGTTGGTCACAACGCAAATGTTACAAGACCCGGTGCTGTTCTATTCACACATTTACCTCGAAGAAAGTATCATTTGCATGTAAAAAACAACGGCTAATTTAAAACAAACTAATAATTAAATTTGTCATTTACCTGTTTATATATATATAAATGCCATATAAACGTAATTAATACACATTTAAATATTTATCATTTAACACAAAACACGAGAGTTTTGTGACAAAACTATGCTACTTACGTTACAAGTAACAAAAAAACACGTATTACGAAAAAGTTACTAAGAGTGTGATAAATGTTTTGAAATTTTTAGAAATAACAATTTGAATCGAATCCATATTCATTATAAAATATTGTTTTTTTTTATTTTAATAAAATATATGATAAAATTTCAAATCAAATTTTATTCGAAAATAAATAGTGCAATTTTTGAAACAATTATTTTGTTATCATTCTAATAATAACGGTGGAATTTCTCAGTCCAACCATTTTGTGTAATTTTGTAATATTATTTTGCCACATTTGATTAATCATTGGTTATTAGTCATATGAACAATATTCAAAACAAGGCCTACTTAATTACGTTACGTTTATTCATTGTTAGTGTTTATGCCATTTGTTTTAGAGTATGGTACTATTGAAATGAAAATGTAAATGAAATTAAGTATAATTAATCACTAACACCGACCATTAGCTCGATACTGTGTTTTTGTCGTGTTTTTATTGCGGTTGCAAAGATATTAGAATCCAAGGAGAATGTCTAACAAAAATTATTATTGGAACATTAATAATTACATAAGAAAAATATAAAATTATTGTTTTGATTTTATTTGATAAATAAAAATTAATCGTGACAATATTTGAACATAGATACACACCCACGTTTATAATACATGCGTAGTTGCATTGTTTGATTTTATTTTATTTTAAAAAAGAGTTTATTTCAGTGGTATCATAACCTAAGTTTTTATGCTTAATGTAAATTACAGAAATACAGCGCCGTTAGTGTTGTGACAGTCATCGCTTTCCATTGTAAAGAATAACGAGCTTTTGCAAACTATAAAAAACAAATTTACAAACTACACACGATTTATAAATCCCAAAATTACATTGAATTTATATATCTTTATGTAATAAATATTTTAGATAAATTTTATGTAATAAAAGTATAATTGACAATGATTTCACAGCGATGGTTTTTTAATTGATTATAATTAAGGAATTTTAGTGAATAATAATAATAAAGACGCCGTTGTCATTATCCGCCAGCGTTAGGGCGGCGCGTCCCTCGTGGACGCAACACCCCTCCATTAACTCCTTTGAATAATGCCCTCCCACGTCCGTATTTATTCATTTTTTGAAATAGAACAAATTAACGAAACAACAGCGGATGTGGAAGGGACGTGATTTCTCTGCGCTGCGACATCAATTAAGAAATTGCAATACTCTCCTGTCCCGTTCAAGTTAACTACTCTCCGTACGCGCGCTCTCAACCGTTGATCTTTAGATAAACGGTTAAGATAGCGCGTCTCCAACATTCGCGACTGTAGTGCGTGACAAACAAGTCGGCTTGTATTAATTCAAACTCTTGCAACAGTGTTCATACCTGGCTCGGGCTCCACCACATAATACAGTATTTTTATAATGTGATTTGAATTTATGATTTTAAAACATTTGAATACAAAGCTGAATCCGTAAGATAACATATTTCATTAAAATTTGAATATATCTTTGTCGTAATATTTACAATATAATCATAAATCGTATTTACAGACTTTCAAAATTTATGGAAAAAATACAATTAATTCATATTTTGCAAACTTTCCGAAATAATGGAAATATACACATGGAAAAGGTGAAAGAACAAACGATTGCTTGCGTCTTACGTCAACATAAACCCTACTCCTTTTTCCCGCCGAAAGATATACCAAGTGATTAATACATCGTTTTCACATCATTTGACTTCCCCACCAACTAATCTCGATTTTATAATGACGTTTATCTTACCTTTTTCTTTATTATAATTATAAATATTTCATTTTCATTTTATTTCCCTATTTTTTTATAAATTGGATCAGTGATTATAATAGTGGCATTGCTTTGGTTAGAGGACTCCCACTCCATTGCTAGCGTTGAGTATCCTAATCTGAATAAAGAAGGGACTCTTAAATTATTTTTTATCATAAGCTTAATCATATCTTAAAATATCATATATAATGTCTCCCAATCGAATTTCAAACCGACACATAATAAAGTTATCTTATATTAACTGAATCCGAATTATTATAAACGGAATTCTAATCTTACGGACACACAGTGATATCAAATGATTCAAACCGATCTCTTATAATTAACCGATATGATCTTCGGTTTTGTCTTGTGGTTTCTACAAATCTCTCGGTTTAATTAAATCGAACCGGGACCAAAGCTTCTGCGTCAGTCAAAGGCTTCTTCTCACACTTCCGAGAGCTCGAAGTAATCAATCAATCATCGCTAACATTATATATTAATATCTGTAACTCTGTAACCATCTCTTCTACACAAATCACATGTTTGGAAACGGGCTCATTTTTATCATAGGTCTATATATAATCAAACGAAATTTACATAGCATGATTTATGTATCTAATATTAGATTATATATATATATATATATATTTGTTGACATTAGTTTTGTTGGGAGTCCAATTTCATTTAATATATACGTGAAGGTAGCTTGAAAAAAAAAAGATGTATAAGATTTTAGAGTTTTGTTAATAAAAAAACTCTCAAGATTCCTCGATCTCTTGATCAGAATTAGTCGAATGATGAAATTGGTCGAAAAAAATTGGGATGTCCTTCTCTTAAATCCTAAGTTCGGATGGTCATTAAGATGAGATGCATAATTTAATTATGATGAAAATATAGTTGGGACGAAGATTCGAAGATTTTTCAAATTAACACAACAAAAAATTGTATAGATATATTCTCCTGTTTTGAAAAAAGGAGACAAATCGATAAATCAAAATAAATTGTTAGAACAAAAAAAATAAAAAAATAAAATTATATACTATGATATTTTCTATTTATAAAAATATTTAATTAAAATTTTAAACGATAGAAGCATAAATTTTCAATATATCATAAACATAATAAACGTAGTCACTGTCAATGTCGACAAAGATAATTAATTACTAATAGAACCCTAATTCCGTTTCACATGGACTCGTGGAGAATGTCTGAACTGGACAGAAATCTTGACCATAGAGAGAGGTCTAGCCCATTATATTTGTCTTTTTTTCCTTCTTTTATATATGACCTCTCTTTTGTTTTCGTGGGTGGAGTACAGTTACGACGTTGGATCCGTAGATTTTTCATATTACAATAACAATATCACATCATATTATTTGAATTTCTTTTTTTTTTAAAAAAATAAATTATTTTATATTACTTTGTGGGGGGCAGAGTAAGTTTGTTCCCATAATTTCATATTCTTTGCCATATTTCCTTTTTTTTTCTCCTCTATTTTGTATGTTTCTGTAATTTTAAGATTTAAAAAAAAAAAAAAAAAGTTACATGCCGCAGCTTCTACTCCCAACCATACGACCATATGGGGCCTCCCTTTGTTTCCTCGGACATTCAACTTTTTTTTTATTCTTATTTTTTATATTTATCTTCTTGATCTGCTTTTTGTTTAAACTATTTTTTTAAAATGATATGAATTCAAAACTATGTGGAAGATTGATGTGGTAAATTAGAAAGCTCATATTATTGCATATTGAGAATATAATCAAATTATATATGATCGGATAATCCGAATCTATGTCATGTACGAACTCCGACCACGGATGATGGAGTGGAGCAAAACACGGTTATGCAGTGAGTTGTAATATTCTTTAATACCAATCAACATAAAAGCATTAGCGATAACAAAAGATAACGAAGAGACCAATAAACTCGCCCATTTTATTGCGATAATTTAGGGTTTAGAGAGTTGAGTTGGATCGCACATGTTCTCGTCACGTGCGTAGGCTCCACTCTTCACATGCAACGTTCATATATATATATATGTATGTATGTTGTGTGTCTGTGGAGATATTTGCATGTTCTCGCTTGCAAGCTAAGCTAATTTCTGATATTGGAAAAGTTTTACAATAATTATGAAACCCATTCACTCAGTTTTTTTTTTCATGCTTTTAGTTTGTACAAATAATATAGCGAGATATATATGTATATATATATATATAAATTCTTGTATATAATATTTGCATTCCTTACAATTAGATTCTTGTGTTTGACATGGTCAGTTTCTCTAGAGATAGTCTACCGATATACATATATATAGTGTGTGTTTATACATGTATATGTGAATGCTTATACATTTTAGAATGTGGAAAAAGTAGAAAAGCTTATGTACATCTGTATTCTGATATTTTTGAATTTCGAAATTCGATTGCTTTTGATCCCCACCCAAGTATTCATCATGTGTTTAGTCTATATGTTAGTTTGGCGAGGGACCCATTTGATCAATGAGAAAATTAGAAGTTCACATTAAAAAAAAAAAAAATCTTTCAATTATTTTTCTCTCTTTTTATTATCTCCTACAAGACCCCTCATCTTTCTCAATATTTTGTTTTCGACCATATATTTTTTTGTCAAAAGACCATTTTTTTTTTGCGTGTCGACAGAAGGGTTCTTATATATACCATAAGATTTCTGTATTCATAATAGTAAGATTGGTATAATCATCATCCACGTAAATGCCAATGTGCATGTATATATGAGTGTTTCACATTATGCCATGGCACACATGACGCATGAATATATGTACATGGTTATGATAACTTTCTTACCGTGGAGATAATTAAGTAACGAGGAGGAATAGATTAATAGAGATACGTTATTATAATACGTAATTTAGTTAACAAATTATAATGAATAACTAACCTGTTAAAAGATGAAAAAGAGGTTGATGGATGAGAAGAACCTTTTTGCTAAAGCATGGTTATAAAATTATTATTATTATCACATCATTAGGCATGTCTCCTTGATTAACGGTCCACATTGGGTTTATTTTTTATTTGATTGTTGCTCTTAATATTTTTTTATGTCTATAGTGACTGGCAAAGCATGGGATACAGCATTTCCCTTGGAACTTTGACCGTATTGTCTTCCATTAGGTTATACATATACATATATATATATAATGTTTGTTTTTTATGATTTATCTGAAATATTTTACAAATAAAAAACTTAAGAAAATATAAAAGCTTTTGTATATATTTTGTATTTTTTTCTACATATCACTTCATTAAAAAAAAAAAGACAGGTGTATAAAGAATCTCCGTTGAGTGGGGATAAGAGGAAAAGTTTTACCACAAAGTTTTCTTGTGCGTAAATCTTATCTTTCATAATATTTTGTAAGAGACTGTAAAATGAAAAATTTAATGATATTAAAAATCTTATAAAAGACAAATTAATAGATATTTAATCCCGGTTTGAGACAATGTAAATCGCATTAATTTCTATTTCTTTTCTTTTCTTTTTTTTGTTGTTAACATAAAAACTTAAATACAAGGAAAATATACCAAATTAATGTTTTATTTTCTGAAATATCAAATATAGATTTGCAGGGAATATTATCTGCATCAATACAATAATATTTATATTTGTGTGTAGATCCAAGTGTTTTGAGTTTACCTTTCCCAAAATAAATTGTATTGCATGTGTATGAATCAAACTTGAATGAACCACACATTGCCACAACATATAAACGCCAAAGAGATGTATTGTTGATGAATCACATCATTATCTATTGTTCTTAATCATTGTATGCATCTTTGGGACCCAACAAGATACGAAAATCGACCGTGAAGCGCTACAACTTATTTTCCCTATCTAATAGATATTTGAATAAATACTATTAAAATTTTATTATAGTTTAAATTTTTAGTATATGAATTATAAATTTGAAAATTTAATTGTGTAATATAAATTTTAAAACAATTGAACAGTAACATCATACACATACTTTTTAAATATTTAACAACAACATAGATTGAATATTGTCGGATTGTAATGGAAATTTCACTTGGAAAATTTTGTTGTTATACGGCTATTTAATTTTACACATGCGATTTTCTTTAATTTTCTATATTCCATTATAATTGTCATTTCCTTTCCTTCTTTTCTTTTTCTCTTATATTTTTCCTTGTGTTACATAAAAGATCAAATCCTTCTTGGGGCATTCTCAAATTTGGACCGTTTTTGCTTTTAGAAATAAAAAAAATTAGTAAAGTGTATATAAGAGGGCCCAAAAACTAAATTTGGGCTACTATCTTTATCGTCAGTTATAAAATTTAAAATTAGGCCCATACATTTATCTGCATATTCAGGTGTAGAACATGGGCCGATTACCTGTAAATGTATTTTTTGTTTGTATAAGAAATGCAAACCAGAAGTTAATCACAGTATTTAGAGCCATAACCTAATCACGTGGAGGAAGTCGTTGGCTGAACATGTGTATTACTCTGATCAAAGGTCAGACGACTTATTTTAAATTTTAATTATAAAATAGGTAAATTCCAATAGCAATTCCATGCCTATTTATTGTTTTAACTATTTTTTTATTTATTTATTGTTTTTTTTGGCCGTCGATAGAGATATTCAACAGAGAAATTCTAACCCGGACCGGCCACAGATATTATGTATTTTTATTTTATCGCATATGAATAAATGAATAGACGGAGTCAGAAAACTTAACGGAAAATTCACATAACTTTTATTTGCAACCGTCCGATTTACACATGGACGGTCTAGATTTCAGTACGATGATAATGGGTCCCACCATTAGACAAAGTATCCACGCAACTTCTTCATTCCATCTATATGCTTTTCTTCACATTATAAGACAGACTGAATACATTTTGCATTTTCTCGCAATCCGCTCATTCATCTGAGAAAAAATTTCCGTAAACCCGCTTTCCGAAATCGGAAACCCATCTCGATTTTCTCGGAATCCAAACAACCCATCGAATCGAAAATGCCAAAGGACAGGAAAACCGGAATCGCCATGGATTTCTCGGACAGCAGCAGGAACGCACTTCGGTGGGCGATCGAGAACTTGGCAGACAAAGGAGACACTCTTTACATCATCCACACCAACCCCGATGAATCCGCTAACAATCTCTGGTCCAAATCCGGTTCTCGTAAGTTTCTGATTCATATCGGATATGGTTTCCGTGTTCAGATCCGGCATAAACTCTCTCTAGCTGTGTTCTTTCGGTTTAATCCGGTTTACTTCGGTTATGTGCAGCTCTCATACCGTTGACCGAGTTCAGGGAACCGGAGACCCTGCACAAGTATGGTGTTAAAGTCGACATCCCTGTTCTTGATTTGCTCGACACCGCTTCTAGGCAAAAAGAGGTAACATATATACATGCATATGTGTGACTATATCTATATATGTTTATATCTCATGTATATGTAAGATCTGATCTTATTTTAAAAAAAAAACTGTGGGATTTCCTGCATTGATTTAACTTTTAAAACGATGGAATAATGTGATGAGAAATTTGATAGATTTGTACATATAAGCTTTAGATCTAAAGATTTTTAGAAGATACAATACTTTGATCATTAATCTAGTTGGTCTTACCATGGTTCTTAAACATGTATACATTTTCTTACTTGTACTCGAGTTATTTTTCTAATTCAGGTTTCAATTTTTTTTTTAAATTTCTTTTACTTTATTTTTGCTGGGTTTAAAAACTGTGAGTGAATATAATTTGGTAGGTGCATATTGTGTCGAAATTATATTGGGGAGATGCAAGAGAGAAGCTGCTTGACGCCATTGATGATTTGAAGTTGGATTCTATTGTTATGGGAAGCAGAGGACTTAGCACCATTAAAAGGTATAACTATTATCGTGTTATATATATATATATATATATATATATATATATATATATAATTTAGAGAATTATGGGTTCATTTTTTTCTGTGATCTGATTTGTTTTAACCTATAATGGTTCAGAATCAAATTTTATTTTTTGACATTTTATACCTATTTTATATTGAGTTCAATTTGGTCATATTTATATGTTATTTGGTTAGATTTTGTTTAAGGGGAGGGAAATGGTAATCCTGGAAGATATTAATATATATAATATGAATTTAGATTAGAGTCGGTCCAATTCTCAAACCTTGTAGCCATACATGACTATGAAAGATCATAATCATTGAAATGTTCTAATTGTGAATAAATTGTCAAATACCGGATGACGACAACGACTATGTGATAATACAGAAAAACATTTCGTATAGTTTGTATTAAGTTGTATTTTTTTAATTATATGATTTAAAATTGTAATTATGAATGGAAACAGGATCATATTGGGGAGTGTAAGCAACTTCATGGTGACACATGCGGCTTGCCCTGTCACCGTCGTTAAGGATAACAGCCCCAACTAAAGCTGCGTGTTCTGTCTCATCATCTTTCACTCCCAAATAATATATCATAAACTAAGATATGATTTTCGTTGTTGGATTTTATTGTTTTGCGCTCGGAGACATGATGATCCTTATCTTTAATTCCACGTCATTTCTATATTTTTTATATTATTTTTTGTCCTGGTGTTTTTTTTTTTTTGGTAATTCTCAGAATCTATTTCGTTTCAAATGGGCATGCGTGACATGGAATAATTAGAATCAGAAAAGATTTGTTAAAAATGGGGTGAGAGCAAATCACATGGCCACGGCCCACCAGATGCCATTTTGTCTCCTCCATCATTGACTTTGATAACACCATGTTTTTTTTACTAAATTTTTTCAAACAATTTTATTGTGAACTTTATATATATATATATATATATATATATATAGTTTATGATATATATACACACACACATAAAACGCTGTGTGTATTTTCTTCCGTGGGTGGCGTATGGTCGAACAAGTCTACTAATTTGATTATAATAATGAACAAGTGGTTAATCAACAGCTTAATAAAATATGTTCACCAAAATTGCACATTGGTTAATCGAAATAAACAAATATTGAATAAAATAATGATAATGAAAACACAGTATCATTCGAAATCAAGAAATATGGTGATTTTGTGCGCCTGTGTATGTTTATGTATACACATGAATCATAGGGGTTAAACAAAATATTTCAAAAATCTAAGTGTCGGAGCACATGTGTGTTCCCAACATCGAGTTTGATCCTTCTTTAGTATATCATTAGTTTTTCAATATAAGAAAATATGTGGTTAATGTTGGTTGAATATATTGTAATGAAAAGTATCTAAAAACCATCGAGTTTGGTGCTTTTATTTATTAGTGTTACTTACTATTTTTTCCAATTGTAATAATAGAAACAGTGTGGAAAGGCCTCCTTAAACAAATTAAATATTTTATTTTAAAATACTAATATCTATTTTCACCCAATTGAAATGCATATGTTTATTTTAATAATTAGTAATTAAATTAGATTTATCTATAATAGGATTTCGATAAATATGAGCTAAACATTCAAATTGGCAGTCCATATACATAGTCTAAATAAATAATAAGAATTCCACCTTCACACGGTCGTTGTAGTATAGTGGTAAGTATTCCCGCCTGTCACGCGGGTGACCCGGGTTCGATCCCCGGCAACGGCGTATCAATTTTTACTGTTTTGCCCTCTCATCGCGTTGTATTTACTGTTTCGCCCCCGATCCCCATCCAAATTTTCTAAATTTGTACAGCAATTAAAAAGCTCACTAATGCAACCATTAACCCCAATTAAAATGAATTCAATCTTTTAGCTAAATGGTCGGTGATGACACGACGCCCACAAATCCACAACCCAATTGGATCCCCCACCATTTACATAAATTTCCTTCATTTATTTTTTGAAATTTGTCAGAGAAAATAAAGGATTTTGATTTTTGAGGTTTGGTCATCAGCTCTCTCTCGCACGTCAACACCTGGATCTTATGTTGTTGGTGAGAACACTAAAACCTTAATTTATCAAGAAACAGACCCATTTATTGCTCCTCAAGTGCTTCTCCCGCTACACTCGGTGGCCAAATTTCCCAGAAAAAAAAAATGCAAAAATGGGAATTTTTGGTATATATACCCATCATGAACCCGATCGAAACCCACAACCGAAATCGAAAAACAAAATCAGGGTTCGATTAACATCTCTCAAACACTTCCAAAAATGGCATCTTTCCTTAAGTTCCTCTGCATCCTGGGTCTGGTCGTCGTCCTCGCCGGAGTCTCCGACGGCAACGGAGAGTGCGGGAAAACGTCGCCGGACGATGAGGCGATGAAGCTAGCGCCGTGTGCGGCGGCGGCGCAGGACTCCAACGCGGCCGTGCCCGCCGCGTGCTGCGCGCAGGTGAAGAGGTTCGGACAGAACCCTAAGTGTCTCTGTGCGGTCCTACTGTCGGACACGGCCAAAGCCTCCGGCGTCAATCCGGAAATCGCTATCTCCATCCCCAAACGCTGCAACTTCGCCAACCGCCCCGTCGGTTACAAGTGTGGACGTAAGTACATGATTACTTTATTGTTAAATTTGCATATACTTTTTTAATTTGTATGGTAAAAACACGCGAGTTTTTATAAGGCCATATGTATGTATGTATGTATGTATGTATGTATGTATGTATGTATGTATGTATGTATGTATGTATGTATGTATGTATGTATGTATGTATGTATGTATGTATGTATGTATGTATGTATGTATGTATGTATGTATGTATGTATGTATGTATGTATGTATGTATGTATGTATGTATGTATGTATGTATGTATGTATGTATGTATATATATATGCTAGAATTATTTTTATAAATTTTATTTATTAATTCATACTTGATAACATAGATAATAGATATGAGACATCTTTGTAGTACATGAAATAAGAAAATTGGAGTATAAATCACTGTTTCAGTTAGAACTGTGTCCCATTAAATAACGTAACGTCCTGTATTAATAAAAACTGAAACTTTAATTTTGAGAACTTGAGTTACAAAATGGAATTCTTAATTTATATATATATTTTTATTTAATCTGGTTATGATGTGTTTTCAGCATACACGCTGCCGTGAAGAAAGTCCACAATAGGAGCATGAAGATGTGGCGCTTTGGGGCTATTGACCTCACGATACACACAACGCCATGCACCTTATTTAACATGTTATGAATAATGATAGATGTATGTATGTATCATGTATGTTTCTGTGATATATATATTTGATTTCAGTATGCGTATATATATATTGCACAATGATATTCCGTGACGTGGCCCGTCGATCTCTAGTAATACAGAGAAATGAATCCCTACATAATGTTTTAATATAAAGAATTATAATTATCAATAGAATAATCGATTCTTAAAAAACCTAAATTTTTGAAAAAAAATCTTTATTTAAAAACTCAAACATTCAAAAATCCAAGTAAATCAGAAAAACTTGTAAAAAAAGTATCTCAAAAAATAGAGAATGGATTTATTTTTCCAAAAATTTGAACACCAAATTGTTCACTAAAACGTGAGCGGCAGGATTCGAACCTGCGCGGGCAAAGCCCACATGATTTCTAGTCATGCCCGATAACCACTCCGGCACGCCCACTGACATGCCAAGTAAACAAAAATAATATGTACATATTTCATCCAAACACAACTTCTCTAACATTAACATTAACTAAGAAGTCCATCCAAAGTAAGAGATATGCCATGAAACCATGAACATAAACATTCCATTCCAACAACCAAAAAAAAAAAAAACAAACAGTGCAAACAAAACAAAAGCAAACGGCTCCTTGGCCAGTCCGTACATATATGTACTATACTAGACTTGGAGATGCAGAGATGGAACCAGTGTACTGTGTATGCACTCTCTTCTGCTTTCTCCGGACACAGAGTCCCCCTTATATAAAGTCTGATCCACCAGGGAAATGCTCTAGATCCGGATGTGTCCCGTTCCCCGGCCCCCTTCGCGGAGGTTGCCTACACGATTATAAGGAAACCTCTATTGGAATCATTCCGCAAAAAGATTGAGCAGATTCGAGCTGGATTGATACCCGGCATTGTAGAATACATGGATCAACTATGTTGAGATATTTACCGAATGAAGCGGCCTGGCTCAAAACCCGGAACACCTGGTGGTCCATAAGGATCAAACCGAGCACCGGGAGGAATTCCCCTGTAACAAGAAAGGTTAAAAATGGAATCAGAGTTCCTTGTTGATGTGGAAAGATACAAACTTTTTGTATGGTTACACGATATGGGTTTGGGTTATGTGCAGAGAATCTTACGGTTGTGCTCCCGGGAAGTCGGGTCGATCACCGAATGGACCGAAAAAACGAGGATCTCCAGGTCCTGATAGCGAAAGATAGTTAAGTCAGTCATAGTTAGGGTTTAATCTACCATTTTTCGTATATGAATGATATAGGGTTCATACCTACGAGCATGCTTCCATCACCAAATCCACCCCTGAAAAAAAAAACAGAATGTATGTGATGAATGCAACCAGAAGTGAAGCCGAGTCATGTACTTGTTAATAACAGATAACACTTGATGCCAGACCTGTGAGGGTATGCTCCAGCACCAGGGCCCGGGAACAGATCGCTAAAACCTCCCCCGCTCGGTATAGGAGGGATTATGGCCCTAAACACATACAAGAAAGGTGTAAAAGCCGACATTCTAATCATTCACAACTGGCCTTTGTAACAGAAAGAATTGCAATAATACCCGGACCATAAGATTATGGAAATTATGGAAAGCATATATTCACCCTGATGGGTCAATTTGAGGGCCGTATGGATCGGGAATTCCACTTCCGGGCTCTCTTATGCCTCTACGCTCTTCATTTCTCTCCAAACTACAGGCAATATGATAAACAAAAGAACTTTCAGAAGACAGAGGATCCTAATTCTGGTCCAATCTACATATCTATATCACTTTCGAGAATCAAATCATATCAAACATTGAATTAAAATAACAATCTTGAGAACATTGAAGTAGACTCAAAAGAAGCATTTGAGAACAACTTCTGTAGCATAAGCTATGGGCAACAATTTGTAGAAATCTGCTATATAATACTCCCCACCTGAAGGAACGACTATCCGAAGAACTGGGCTTTGCTTCTGGATGAAGCTTATTCAGAACCTCCTTCTGCAAATCACCCACCAACTTCTCCAAATTCTTGAACTGTGCAGAATAATTCCCATCTCCGTTCTCTCCGACATAATCCCCAACACTGCAACATTCAGAAACTTTCACCGACATAAAGATAATCATCATCGAGAAAGAAAGAAAAAAAAAACTCGCTCGATTCGATAACGTACTCTATCGCGAGATGTGCTGGAACATTTCCGCCATCAGCTATGGCATCGACCAAAAGCTTATCACCCATTGCTAAGCACTTCACGATAACTTTCACCGAGCCCTTGTCCGGATACGTATACACAAACGCGTACTCACCATCAAACTCGTTCCACCCATCAATTCCAACCTCGTCTAAAATCCAGAGTCGGACGAATCAGAATCCTAAACCCTAGAAAAGCGATCAAATTGAGGAAAACCCAGGAAAATAAAAGCGAAAATGTTACCAAGAGAAGTGGAATAGAGAGCGTCGCCGGCGAAAGCAGGCCGTCCGGTGGCGATAAGGACGTAACCGGCGGCGAGGAAGGAGGAGTGGACGGCGAAAGAGACCTTGTCGTGGTTGTTTCTGAAGCTCGGTCTCGCAGCTCTGATCACAGCCATAACCGCTTTGTCGTTCGCCATGGATTCTACGTGTGAAGAGCTTCTCTTCGGTTTCGTCCTCTTTCTCGAATACTCGAGAGTTGTTCCTTAAACGACGACTCCAAGGGATCCCAACGAAAAAAAAAAACTCGAAAAAAAAACAAAAGGGCTGATTGTCTGAGACGCAAACGATGTCGTTTTATAAAAGAGTTATTTTCATTCAATTGTAAATATTTTCAGACTTGGGCTTCACGACAAGGATACCAACCAAGGTCCAAGGCCTTAAAAAATATCTCAAGGAAAATATAAAATTAAATGCATAATATATATTAAAATTTCTTACAAAAATGGTCACATGAAATTATATTATATAAGCGGTTTCAGTTATCAAACCAACCACCCTCTAATGAATTGTGTATATTATCACTCAAGTCAATGTGCACTTTGTTCTCACATTGCGCCATTGTTGTGGAAGGAAATGGCTAAAACCAGAGAGAGAGAGACAGAGAGATGTAGTTTGGTCGGTGGAATGTTTCAGAGATCACAAAGCAAAAGAAGAAAAAATGAAGCTTTACTTGGAAATATTAAAGAGAAAAAACAAATAGTTGAAACCCAAATCAATTTGGCATAAACCCATTGGCCAAATCTAAAGCAGAATCAACCAAATGATTACAGCCTGAAGAAAAAAACAATCTTTCAACCACAAACCCTCCACGTCTCCACAACACAACCACCCCACTATCACACACAGTCACACACACATGTATATATATATATACACACATTAAAATCCAACTGCAAAAGAAGACAACCTCGTGAACAAGACAGTGAAAAGCAGAAGAGTGTGAAGCATGAAGAACAGCAGGGTTTTAGTTGTGGTCGCGCTGGTGTGGGTAATAGCTTCATGGGCCGTGGAAGGAGCCGGGGAATGTGGTCGCACCCCTATCGGCTCCGTCGACAGTTTGGCCGCTTCCAAGACCCCCAGGGCTAAGGTCCCACCTTCTTGTTGTGCCAAAGTCACTGCCCTCATTCGGACCAACCCTCGCTGCCTTTGCGCCGTCATGCTCTCCCCTCTCGCCGCACGTGCTGGTATTCATTACTATATGAACTCTATATATTTCATTACTTAGTTTATATTGTCTATTTAAACCCTTTTGATTATCAATAATAACAACAGTAATTGTCAGGTATCAATCCAGCAATAGCTATAGGCATCCCCAAACGCTGCAGCATCCGCAACCGCCCTGCTGGCAAGAGATGCGGACGTATGTTTCAGACACATACATACATACGTGTATATATATACACACACGACATGACGAATCACTTGCGTATTTGTCTTGTAATAAGATTACAGGAATGCCACTTACATTACATTATGCGTGTGTGTGTTGTCTTGACGCAGGCTACGTCGTTCCGTGACTTGCAAATGGGATGGATGGAGTTTATGAAGCTTTGAGCATTGGATCTTATGATAGAAGAAGTACCTGTCAAATAAATATGTTCACTTCCCTCTGCCAAATCCTACTCGGTTGTTCCCTGTAAAATGGTAAAAGAGAGATAATATTAATATGCGACCCACCAACTTACTAATCGGCTGTTCGAATCATTAATGTCTATTTACATTGAAATACAATTTGAAGTATTCAACACTATCAGAGAGTGATCGAAATGCCGTACAAATGATAACAACAAAATAACACAGAGCAAAAACTGAAACTCCATGCGGTCTACATTCCAAACGACATGCTCGAAAACAGAGCTTCCTTAAATGGGAAGACAAAGATTGTTATCTCGTGAAGAAACCTATATAACTTCACAATCTTAATCTTTTCCAAGCAAATGATGATTCTTTCTTCATCTAATACCTTTCTCTATCAGCAAAGCTTGAAAACTAAACCCATCTAATTTATATGGGAAGGTCTTACTTGTTTGTCAGCTCGGAGTTGGTGAAGAGAGCATCTTTACCGTCTCGTATGTTATGAAGGCAATGCCTACCCCCCGATCCACTTTGTTGTATTTGGGTAAGACCCCTCGGAGGCCTTCTGTCTTGCATGTGTTTGAATGTTCCTAAGAGTCCCGTGTTATACAGTCTGCGCATTCCAATTGCTTTCTTCTTCTCACAAGATCCAACGGAATGTCGCTACAAGATATCGGTATACAGAAAGTATGTCATTTCATCAATACACAAAAACGATATGCCCCTCCCAAATCTTGTCTCAAAATTCATATACGTGAATTTGTGTGTGTGTGTTCAAGATTATAGAAAATCCGACTTTTGAACCTCTCGATATAGCAAAACATTAACAACTCCAAAAGCATACCGGGAGAGAAACTAAAAGACTTATGATGGAACAGACAATGGAACGAGGAAAAGTTTTCAAAGACCTTTTGTTAAAAGCTTTTATTTTATTCCTTTGTCTTAATGGGTGATTTCGGAGAATCATACCTTGCAACTAATAATCCAAAACAAAACATAGTCAAGAATTTCAGACAATATCCTAACACGATTAAGGACTCTGAGACATGAACTTAGGCTGCGGATCAAAACTCAAAGCTACGAGGGAGACCCAATAGCCTATATAAGGCATACACACATTCCAGAAACAACAATTTCGAACAACCCGCATTCTTAAATTTTGAGTAGTCACAAACATAAATTGAAACTCGATCTGAAACCAAACCTGAAACAAAATGGTGAGGCGAGCGAGAGGAGCGGTGCAGGTCTCGCTAAAGGCGCAGGAGAGGAGATGCTCAAAGGTGCCGATGTGCGATTGCTGCTGATTCAACGATGGCGGTGACTCTGCGTTTGCTGCAGCAACAGCTTCCTAGATCCGGCGTCCACAGCACCGCCGTGACCGGGGGTGACGGCGGCGGAATTAAGAGCTCTAGGTTCACCTTCAACCGCCACACCGACTCTGGCTCCCATAATCAAAACAAAACGAACGAATCAGCGGGGAGAGATACGAGTGGGATCGGAAGGAAAGGGCAAACATTTGAGAAAGAAACCCTAGAAAAGACATTCGCTGGTTTCGTTCCCACAAACTTGAAATTTTGTAATAATATCAAGTATAATTCCATTTAAAAACTATACTTTTTTCTCTTTCTCAATTTAAACCAATTTAAACCAGCGTATTCTTTTTTTATCCAAAAAAATATTATACTTTTAAAAATTAGCAATTAAAACTCTATACTTTTAAAAATTATCAAATAAAACCCTAAACGAAAAATAATATTATTTAATATTAACATGACATACTAGTCATCTACCACATTATCAATCTCTAATATTTAATAATATTAATTAATAAAAAATAAAAATAAAATAATAATAATAAAAATAAAATTTTAAAAATTATATATATTCATAAAAATTATATACATATATAAACATATTTATAAAAATTTTAAAATTATATACATATATAAATATATTTATATATACATATATACATATATATACATAGGATGCATATATATCTATATATGTGTATAATTATTATATGTTTTATATGCATGTGTTATATATGTATTTTTCCCTAAAAAACATTATATATATATGTATGATTTTTATGAAAAAAATCATATATCACACATACATAAGACATATTTATATATACACATATATCTATATAATACATACATATATATATATGTATATATAAATATGTTTTATATATATGTGTGATATATACATGCTTTTCTAAAAATCATATATATATATATATGTGACATATGCATGATTTTTAGAAAAAAAAATACATATACCATATATGCATATAAAACATATATATATATATGTATTATATATATGTATGTATATATATAAATATGTTTATATATGTGTATATATGTATATCTATTCATTATATATGTATATGTATAATTTTTTATTATTATTATTTTATTTTTATTTTGTATTAATTAATATTATTAAATATTAGGGATTGAATGTATATATATAAATATGTTTATATATGTGTATATATGTATATCTATTCATTATATATGTATATGTATAATTTTTTATTATTATTATTTTATTTTTATTTTGTATTAATTAATATTATTAAATATTAGGGATTGATGATGTGATAGATGAATAAGATGTCATGTCAGCATTAAATAATATATTTTTTTGTTCAGGGTTTTATTTGACAATTTTTAAAAATATAGAGTTTTAATTGCCAATTTTTAAAAATACAATGTTTTTTTGGATAAAAAAAAGTATATGGTTTAAATTGCGACGAGAGAAAAGTACAGGGTTTTAAATGGAATTATCCCTAATATTAATTTAAATTATTATACACGAATTGAGTAAACGACGCCGTCCATAGGGACGAACAATATATGCGCTGAAGGAGCGTGATTACTTTATTATTTTTAATATTAACAAAATCATAATTAGCTTTAAATTATCGTAATTCGTGGAGAATATCTAAAAGACTTTTGGTTTATATTGTGGTCAAACTTATTTTTGGTGTCCAATTTTGAATATTTAATTTGTTTTCTGATATTCAATGGAATACGAAATTTGTTTGCAGTACCCAACAAAGAAAGATTTGACTCTTATATATATATATATATATATTTGGTTTCTGATTTATCATTACAATGGCATAACTTGATATTGAAACCAGTTCGATATTTGATTGGAATTAAAAAGAACAAATTTGTTATTTGAAATAATATATTTCCTTAAAATTGCAAAATCTATATTTTTTAGACTTTCTCCCCATAATTTAAGATGAAAGAAAGTAATAAAATTTAAGTCGAGTCAAATCATATGTTACAAAAAATAATCAATCTCAATGTTAGTTATGTATCCATTCAAGGTCTAGAGAGAGTTGATCTCGTCCAAGTTATTTCCACAACGTAACTTAGCTACAGGTTTGCGCGTGTAGAAAAGTCAACGTCAAAGTCAAAAACACCGTATTCATTTATGCGTACAACGTATAAATACCAGCCACAGCATTCCAATTTTGGACCGTTTTAATTATTTTAAAAGGTGTGCATGCCATTGAAGATGGAGAGCTACGTGATAATAGTCATAGTTATCTTTTCTTGTGTTTCTCTTTCGATGTTTCTTGTCGCCTTATTATGCGGTGGCCTCAACCGCAAAGCCGGAGGAGGCGGCGGTGATGAGGGAGGTGGTGGAGGCGGTGACGTGGAAATGGGAGACGGCGGTGGAAATGACGGCAGCGACGTAGGTTTCGGTGGCGGTGGCGATGGAGGTTTTGGCGGTGGTTTCGATGGTGGCGGTGGCGATGGAGGTTTTGGTGGTGGTTTCGGCGGTGGAGGTGGCGGTGGCGATGGAGGTTTTGGCGGTGGTGGTGGTGGCGGGGCCGGCGGCGGTGGAGGTCTCTAGAGCCAAAGATTTGTACTTTGGATGTTTGATTGATTATTTTTGCGTGTATATATATTTGTGGATGCGTAATATTCTAGCATGCACTTGGAAATATTTTATATGATTTGTGATGTAAATTATATCAAGATTACGTGGACAAAGTTATAGGTTTACTTATAGATCAATTATTTTCTGTTATCCGATTACTCTCTCTACAACCGGTAACGTCATTTAATGACTCCTCTTCGCCGTTACTTTTAGAGTGAATGAACTAGAATTTAAAATCTTTCCAAGGGTTTATAGTTACCCTCCAGACATTCATGCACCCGAAACACGAACTCACCCTGGCTGTCCGAAAGCCACAGTCCACGCGCCTGATCCAGCGCGTGTGAGATGTTTGCAGCGACTCCGTCGAAGGGCTGTTCTACCGTTGCAAGATCTGCGAGTTCGACGTCCACCCGCTCTGCACGCAGCTGCCACGTCGTGTGAGGCACGTGCTTCACCCCCGACCATCCACTAGAGTTCTGCCACTCCGGAGCCAGCGCGTGCATGGTCTGCAACGGCACGTGCGAATCGTGGAGGTACAGGTGTGGACCGTGCGGTTTCGACGTCCATTTGGAGTGTGTCTCGGCCGTATGTAACCCACCGGCTTCAACTGCCGAGCCGGCGCCGGCGCCGGGCTATGGTATCCCGGTCGGTTATGGACCGATGGGTCCGTGCCCTTACTACAATACTAGTAATACTTGGAATAATCTTCCCCATTATCAAGGTTTAGGTCAAGAATCGGTCAAAGGGTCGGGTTCGAGCAAGGGTAAGAAGATCTTTAAAATCTTTTCCCGGTTGATTTAATGAGTGTCTGTATGCTGGGAGATGTGTAATAACGGTAATGCCATTCTAATTCGTGGTTATTATTATTCTTATTATTATTATAGTACTAAAATTATTAGATCATATATTAACTGTTACTGGATTTATAAACTATGCCAAGATTAATTCAGGGAAAATAATTAGTATTACTGTCAACTTCGATGTCATCATCGTTGCTTTCATAATGGATCATTACTGAATAGAAAAACTAATAAAACTTCGAACCCAATAATTAATTATGTAACTCTCATACGACACTAATATTTTTTTATATACATACAGTTTGTATCTTATGCTCTGATATTTTATAATTAAAGTAATAATATTTGTATATCTTATATTTTCTAATATATATATATATATATATATATAAATATACGTGAAGAACCAATGGCAATTACATTTGTATTGAAAAAGGTGTAGCGGGCAAGGAGAAGAGCTGGTGGGTTGTGTCGTGGCTTTTTCTACTCTCTCAAATTGCATTAACTTTAAAATATTTTAACTCTCAGCAAAGTCAAGTCAACTAAATTGCGCAATCACGTTCTCTAACAAGCAAATTTAAATATTAATTACAGCCACTATCATATTCTAATTTACATTCGTGTCTGAAAGTTTCCTACCTCCATTATCATTTTATACTGATCCTCCTCTTCTTGTTTTTGGGTAAACCCTGGTCCTCCTTAGTCCTTGGTTCTCTTCTCGGATCCAGGAAACGGCGAGATGTTTGCAACGGGAGCGTCGACTCGGCACACAGTCCAGCATTACACGCATATCCATCCGTTAACGGAAGCTGACGTTACCGGAGAATTCACGTGCGGCGGCTGCAAAACGTACGGCTCCGGCAAGTCTTTCCGATGCAACGCTTGCGATTACGACCTGCACTCATACTGCGCCACGTGTCCCCCGACCATCCGTACGTTCATGCACCCACTTCACGACCTCACGCTCCTCTCACGTGGACCGGAGCTCACGTGCCAGAGCCAGTGCACGTGCAATATCTGCGATGAGTCCGTCGAGGGTTTGTATTACCGTTGCGAAATCTGCGACTTCGACGTCCACCCGCTCTGCACCAGGCTTCCCCGGCACGTGAGGCACGTGTCTCACCAGGAGCATCCCTTGGAACTCAGCCGATGGGGGGAGAGCACGTGTGTGATGTGCCACGACACGTGCCGGTCATGGCGGTACAGATGCGGCGCATGCCGGTACGACGTTCATATGGATTGCGTTAGCGTTTTGACGGTGACTCAGCAGAGGGGGTTCGGACCGCATCCGTACGGACCGTACCCTTACTATAATAACCATCAGGCGGGTTATAATTATCATCACCACCCATGTGGGAACAACTGTGGTCCGACGAATCCCGGTGGAGCCGGGTCGGGGTCCGATTCGGGTCATGGGTCGGGTTCGGGTAGGGGAAGAAGAATGTTCAGGATTATATGGGCGTTGACTATCGGAGTGGTCTGCAATGTTGTGGCGTCACCGGTCGGGGATGTTCTTAACAATGTCTTCTAACGGTTGAAGTTCTCTCTCTCCACATCTCAATGTCGTTTTTTCTTCTCTCTTTCTATTTCAATGTTGTTTGTGTTCTGTCTTTATGTTTTTTTTTCTGTCTTTTTTTTTGAGTATTTGTGTGTATTTTAAACTAAATTAAAGTTGGAGAGATTTTTATTTGGTGAGACATGTGTGGTTCATACATTTGGATATTAAAAGAATATTCACTTCTTTGATTTAAATTGTTACAACTTACAACACGATAGGAATCCATCGTTGTTATCGTTTAGATTATCTTGTACATGACCATTCAGTTTCAAGATTTGTGAAATAAAACGGTATATATTATTAATTATCGAATAAGTTTAAATATACAATTATATAGGAAACTGCTATGGATTTACATTGTTCGATTAAAAATTTTAATATGGAAGGAAATTAATTAAAGACGTGCTGCAATATTAGTATAACCATCGAGAATAAGTCCCAAGACGGAACTTTTAAGTATTAGCCACTTGCATCTGCAGTGTTTCTTTACGATTTCACAAACCAATAAAACTTAAGCGGCTATATATATATATATATATATATGGCTTATACATATTTGATGGAAGTGGTCCGCATAGAAAAGGGAAGCGATGATCACAAATAGTTGTACATTACACGATTTTAGTTCTTATATATATATATATATAACGCATGAAATTGATTTTTTTTTTCCACATGGGTATTATTTTTTTCTTTCCATATTGCATTTGGTGCTGTTTAAGAGATTTGTATATTTCAACATAAATTGTCAATAACAAAAGGAACATTTTTTTTTTGTGGGCCAATAGTGCGATGCGATTGAAAGGTATCGTTGTCATACAAATACAGAGGTCATTTTCAGGATTAAAAAGGGAGAAAAAAAAACTCAAATTGAGTCAGAAGAAATTCATATTTCGCCATCCCAAAGTTCTTCGAGGGTCTTATATTGGCCCAGCGTCTCGTGAACAAACGACGTCCCCCTTATTAACCTAGCCTGCGCCATCCCAATACAGAATCATCAATCATGATGTGTTAAGAGAAGAGATGGATATATACATGTGTGTATATATATATATATATATAGAAGAGGTAGAATACATAGACAGATTTGGTGGTGATGATACTTGCCTGTTCGATCTCGGAAAGCTTGGAAAACAAGTAATCGGGTACGGACCAATCGAAAACATCGAAATTCTCTTGGATCCTCCCTTGGTTTGTGCTTTTGGGGAGAACACTATGTCCCATTTGGATTCCCCATCGAAGGGCAACCTGTGCAGGTGTCTTCCCGACCTTTTCAGCAACCATTTTTAGAATCGGGCTTTTCAGAACATCGCTCTTTAGCCACGTTGTTCCCGGAGAACCCAGTGGTGAGTATCCCTACCAGAATTTCAAATATAATAATGTGAGCTTTGTAAAAGCTTGAATTTTTTTTTACCATTGTTATTTCAACTTACAGAAAGGTGGATCCCATTGGATTTGCAGAATTGGTGTAGCTTGTCTTGTTGCCATGAAGGATGGCATTCCACCTGGTTAACAGCGGGTGGAACACGAGCTACTGTCAAGAGATCCTCGAGTTTCTTAGTAGAGAAATTGCTTACACCTATGGCCCGTGCCTGTCCCGAATCATAGAGTGCTTCCATTGCTTTCCATGTGCTGGGAATGTCCGTAGGCATAAGGTTCTCGGGGCTAAAATCAACGGAACCTTTCTTCAACTTGACAGGCCAGTGGATCTTCAAAAAAAGAAAGAAAGAAATCATATGAACTGTTAGCCAGTTGAAATGGACAGTTTTCCCTGCTTGATTTACCATAATAAGGCAAGAAAAGAGAACAAAATCAAATCCAGGGGCATACGTTGGAAATGAGACCATATCCCCGACCTGAGCGCAAGGTTTGAGAACAAAAATGATCTTTTGCATATAATATTTAAAGAAATGAACACATTCTTGGAAAATGTTCATGAGAATAATGATACACTGTTCACTTGAAGCGAAACTTACGAGATACAGATCAACATAGTCAAGCTGCAGGTCCTGAAGAGTTCTTGCCAGTGCCTCTGGCACATCTTGAGGGTCCTGATCAGTCAACCTGCAATCGCATAATTTACGGACTTTATAAACCGCAAGAGAGCCACACAGTCTTGTTGAAACTTAACATGTCATGGAAAGATATAATACAAGGTAACTGAAGCATTTTGGTAAAACGATACCAGAGTTTTGATGTGATAAACAAATCCCCGCGCTTCGCTGTGCCATCTTCAAACAGCTTCTTCAGAACTGACCCAATCTGTAGGAAGTTTTCGACAGCATTTTGGATATAATATACGACCAAAACAGAAATCTCGTCACAATAAGATTCACATCGTAAGAACACACGGAACTCGGGGAGGGATGGGAGCAGGTCAATCACCAAAAAAAAGGGTCAATCTGAGTAAACCCATCTCTAATTACCAATCAAATGATTGGCATTGTTTTGTAGCTACCAAGATCAAAACATGCCCACCATGTCAATTCAAAATGCTATCAAGATCATCACGTAATATACAATTAAACACGACACATGAATTCAATATAGAATAGTTACAAGTCAGTGGAAGGATGAACTCCGTTACGCATCCACAGAAACGTACAGAACGTGCACAAGGATTCAGATCCGTACGAACCACATTTACACAAAATTGGGCATGGTGAAACTAACGATAAGTTTTACCTCTTTTTCATTGCCATATCTTTGAGCGCAATCAATATGACGATATCCGATCTGCAGAAGAAAACCGATTTCAGTTCGTAGATGAAACAAACTCCAATTTTGTTGGGATAAATCATTGAAACAGACACGAAGAATTAAAACCTAGAAAGCCAGAGATCGATTAACACCACAAACAGGAAATCAACAGGTCCTAATTGCGTATTCTGAGCAAAAATTATCTACGAAGATGAACATCCTCATCCAAACAAAAAAAAAAATCTGACAACAAAAATTGAAAGCCATGAAAACAGAAATCAGAGACAAACAACCTTCACAGCGGCTGCGACGGCATCCCCGATGACGCCAGGAGAAGCCTGCCATGTTCCGAGACCGACAGATGGGATTTTCTCTCCATTATTCAGCTCGAAAAATCTGATCTCGTCCGCCATTATCAGAGAGATTGTGAGTTGTGACAGATCTCAATTCTCAAGGCACAATTTTTGCAGCCCCAGAAAGGGAACGACATTAATAGGCGGGAGTTTCATGAGATGTTTATTTTATTTCTTTATTACACGTGGAACCATCCTAGCCGTTGGTTCAATTGACCCAAAAACTTTGAGTGTTGGGCCGACTTATCTTAATGACTTCAGTTACAATGGGCCCATATGGGCTCAGGTCCCATCTCTGTCACCCGAGCTCGATTTCATTCACATTCTCCATAAATTGAAAAGAAAAAAGTAAAGGCAAAATCACATTAAAAAAAAAATTGTAATTATCAATTTTAGCAGAAAAAACTTGAATTTGTTTTTTTTTATAAATAAAACATCAACATGTCCCAAATGAACCTGGATTTTATATCGAAAACGGATATCATTATTCTCAAAAGTGAGGGCTGGATGACCCTTTATGAGGTCATATCTCACCATCCCACAACTCTTCAACGCTCTTGAAAGGGCTGAGAGTGTCGTGAACGAAGAACGTAGCTCTTACCAACCTACCCTGCATTATCCAAAGCACCCAACTCCCAGATTCAAGACCACGACCAAACCGAACTTGCAAGATTGTAATAAGATCAGAAGAAATCTTCATTTGCCTAGGATTACTCGTTTTGGGTTTCACCGTAATAGACTGTAATAAGCTAAGATTACCCGGTTTCACATTAATAGGACTGTAATAAGATAGATATCTTTTTACTCGTTTAGGGTTTCACACTACTAGACTGTAATTTAAGATAAGAAATTGTTTTACTTGCCTGTTCGATCTCGGAAAACTTGGCAAACAAGTCATCGGGTATTGACCAATCGAAAACGTCGAAATTCTCCTTGATCCTCTCTTCGCGGGTGCTCTTCGGAAGCACGCTCTGACCCATTTGGAGCCCCCATCGAATGGCAACTTGTGCAGGCGTTTTCCTGAGCTTCTCGGCCACCATATTCAGGACGGGGTTCTTCAGTACATCGCTCTTGATCCACGTTGTGCCTGGAGAACCCAATGGCGAGTATCCCTACAAGAAATCAATGCGTAACATATAATGCAGATTCCGGAAATCGCTAACACGGTGTTAGATTCCTAAGTTATTGAGTTTTATTTATTCAAGCTTTCGTTTCTTGTTCAGTTATTTCGTGGACCCTCCGCCCGGAAGGGATAAAAGGGAGAGCTTAACATTATGAATAACAAGTAAAATAGTAAGAGGTTGCCTTTCCGTTCCAAAACACCGTAAAAGTTATTAAGTTAATATCATTTTTACGATAGGCTCATTCGTGATTAAGAGATTTACTTACGGAGAGGTGAACCCCTTTGGATTTGCAGAACTCCCGTAGCTTAGTCTGTTGCCAACAGGGATGACACTCAACCTGGTTAACGGCCGGAGGAACACGAGCCACATCCAAAAGATCCGCGAGTTTCTTAGTAGAGAAATTGCACACTCCAATGGCTCCCGCCTTTCCCGAATCATAGAGAGCTTCCATTGATTTCCACGTGCTGGGAATATCAGCAGGCAAGATGTTCTCAGGGTTAACACCGACAGAACCTTTCTTCATCCGGACAGGCCAATGGATCTTGAAATAACATCATGTGAAACTGTTAGGCACATCTTTCCGTTTTCGAAAAAATCAAAATGAATAGTTTTGACCTCATAAACAGGGTATTAAGTGTACATATACATGTAAGAGGATCTTACAATAAGCTTAACAAATTCAGACCTAAAGCAAGTTTCTCAACAACTCAGGTTCGGGGGGAAACAGAAATGAGTCAAATGACCCTTTCTGCGTTGTTTTGAGAGCAATACTTACAAGATACAGATCAACATAGTCAAGCTGCAGATCCTGTAGTGTACTGTTAAAAGCCTCAGGTACATCTCGTGGGTCATGATCCGTACACCTGTGATGATGTCATGGTTTGTTTCAATGACATGTAGACATGACCAAGTATCCAAACATGACATGTAAGTGCTCGTGCCTTTCCCGAATCATAGAGAGCTTCCATTGATTTCCACGTGCTGGGAATATCAGCAGGCAAGATGTTCTCAGGGTTAACACCGACAGAACCTTTCTTCATCCGGACAGGCCAATGGATCTTGAAATAACATCATGTGAAACTGTTAGGCACATCTTTCCGTTTTCGAAAAAATCAAAATGAATAGTTTTGACCTCATAAACAGGGTATTAAGTGTACATATACATGTAAGAGGATCTTACAATAAGCTTAACAAATTCAGACCTAAAGCAAGTTTCTCAACAACTCAGGTTCGGGGGGAAACAGAAATGAGTCAAATGACCCTTTCTGCGTTGTTTTGAGAGCAATACTTACAAGATACAGATCAACATAGTCAAGCTGCAGATCCTGTAGTGTACTGTTAAAAGCCTCAGGTACATCTCGTGGGTCATGATCCGTACACCTGTGATGATGTCATGGTTTGTTTCAATGACATGTAGACATGACCAAGTATCCAAACATGACATGTAAGTTAAACCGGGCATGTGGTAGGTACTACAAGATTACCATAGTTTTGATGTGATAAACAACTCCTCTCGCTTCACTACTCCATCTTCAAACAACTTCTTCAGAGCTGTCCCGATCTGAAAGACAAGTTTTGAACATTTAAAAAGAAAAAGAAATATTAGAAAATGAGAATCAAAAGAGTGAAGTGTGGAGGAACATTAAGAAATATAATTTGAATGTTGTAATGACATAATAGATCAATCAAGATCCACTCAATCATTCAAATATATGATTAAAAAAATGTACGATTTGTATACGATCGGATAAGGTGCAAATAGATCGATATGAATCTGTCACTGCTCAAAGAAAGGATGAAACCACGATGGATTTACCTCTTTTTCGTTTCCATAGATCCGAGCACAATCAATGTGGCGATACCCAATCTGCAAGACAAAATAATGTTCAGTCCAGGACCCTGAAATGACCGGAGAGGGACAATAAGGAACTTGAACTCATAACAGTCTTTGCCGAACATCATCGCATAAATCGAACCAGGAACCGACCGGAACCTACGAGATTTCGTCAAATCGAAAGCCGTGAAACAGAGATCAGAGACGAACCTTCACAGCGGCCGTGACGGCATCGCCGACGAGGCCAGGAGCAGCCTGCCATGTCCCGAGACCGACAGACGGGATCTTCGTTCCAGTGTTCAGCTCGAAGAATCTGATGTCCTTCGCCATTACCTGAGCTTCGAGACAAATCTCAATTTTTCTAGGAGGACCAGACAACACTTGTCCAGAGACGGAGAATGTCGGGGTAAAAAAACCCCTCCTTTTATGGACAAAAAAAGGAAAAGTGAAAACGACAGAAGCGGGAGATTCCATCAAGTACGTTGGATTTCCAACACGTGGACGAATCTTAGCCGTTCGTTTTGAAAGGGACTAACAATATCTTCAAACAATTGGGCCGAAAGAGTTATTCGGTGTTGGGTCCACATAAAGCCTTTTTCGCTGGATTTGGGCCGGGACGCAGCATCGTAATCGACGGCTGATATGAACTCACTAAATCTGGACCGTCCATCCTGTTATCTCTTGAAATCACGAACGACCATATCATTTACGTAAACCGAATAGATTTAAATTAAATATATATATAAAAGTATTTGATAAAAAAAAAAAATGAATGGGTAAATTTTTTATAAAATTGAATTCGAATCTACTATAAAAATAATTAAAAAACAAAATTATTAAATATTTTTGTTAACAAAAAACTAAAAAAAAATAAACCGACCGGAATCCTAAGTAAATTTTTTAATTATCGGAGAACGATTCCCAGTGGGAATATTATATTTTTGCAGTGTAAATAAAAAGATGCGGTCTTCTGTATCATTAAACAAACAATTTTATTGTAAACAAAATATAAATCACCAGCAGAATCTATAGAAATAGACGAGCATTTCCCACAGACAACCCAAGCTTTTGGAAAATGTTTTCTTCATCAACAAACTCTGAAAGCGAAAATAAAAAACAAACTCTGAAAGCTCATCACACTCACAGAAATGGAGGAGGAACCCTACCACCAACAGAGTAGCGTGAGATGCAAGAAAGAAACCAACCTGAAGGAGAAGACAGAATCAAACTTCATCGTCCCAGAGTTCTTCAAGGGTCTTGTAGAAACCACATGTCTTGTCCACAAAATCAGCTCCTCTGACCAGCTTCTCCTGAAATATTATTAAATAAGTTCACGATTCATTAACACTGTAATCTCTCTTCATTGCCCACGACGAGGAATCGGACATAAAATCGCCAATGCTGTATCAGAACGGCTCGAACCTTTAGGGGTTCACACCATGGAGGAGAGAAAATGGCACGACTAAGAAAAGAAAGGACTTTACCTGGGGAATTTCGGAGAACTTTTCAAACAGATTTTCAGGTATCGACCAATCAAAAACATCGAGGTTCTCCTGTTGTCGTGCCTCGTTCGAGCTTTTGGGCAGTACACTATGACCCATTTGAAGCCCCCAACGGAGAACCACTTGGGCAGGAGACTTGCCTAATTTCTCAGCAACATGTGTGACAATAGGGTTCTGAAGGACCTTCTGGCGAGTATCTCCCTTAACTTGTGAGCCCAATGGAGAGTAACCCTGTTAGTAGAACATTTCAGCAACAGGGTTTACTTTCACGAGGTAAACATATCGTGTGGGTGCGTATACTCACAGATAGATGCACTCCTTTTGATTTGCAGAGTCCAAGTAAATGTCTTTGCTGCCACAGCGGGTGGCATTCCACTTGATTAACAGCTGGGACAACAAGTGCCACTTTTAGCAGATCTTCGAGTTTCTTTGAGGAAAAATTACTCACTCCGATTGCTCGAGCTCTGCCTGAATGATAGAGTGCTTCCATTGCTTTCCATGTGCTCGGTATGTCAGGTTTTGTGAAGCTTCCAGGTTTCGGCTTTGGTGAATCCTTCTTCAGGCTGACTGGCCAGTGAACCTTACAAGTTACAACAAAACAATGGAGGATCAAAAAGTGAAAGAATGCGGTTCCATGACATCTTTTTCCCAGAATACTGCATAACTCTCTAAGCACAAAAAGCTCACCTACTTGCTCTCTTGTAATCATTCTGGAAAGAACATGAAATGCCAACATAAAAAAATTATGCTTAAATTATGCATAAAACATTTATCTAAGATGCGTTATACATACCAGATATAAATCCACATAGTCAATCTGCAAGTCCTGCAAAGTTTTATCCAGTGCCGTAGGTACATCTTCGGGTAAATGATCATTGCACCTGCAAGAATCACAGCCTTTATTAGAGAAAACTAACCCGAACGTGGGCGTACAGAAGGAAGAAACATAAAAGTAAAACTTAAAAAAAAAACTTAGAAATTTTTCAAGGAGAAGATCATACCAGAGTTTCGAGGTGATGAATAGCTCCTCGCGTTTCACCATACCACCATCTATCATTTTCTTCAACACATTACCAATCTATAAATACAATCCTCGCGTCAGATCATTAGGCAGAGTCAAGATGACAAAACGAGTACCCTCACGCCAAATTTTTTTATGTTACAACTTAAATCTGAGGAAGTAAGAAATTAAGCATATATTGCACTCCGTGAATAATTTGCTCAAGCTAAATTTCAATGCAGATACATTCTTTCCAATGATTCCATGCACACAGCACATATACAGCCATATCTGTATAAATACATGTATTGTGTATATGTTTTTTGGGAACCCTAAATTTCCATTTAACATCGAACTGAATCGCAGTACTACATGCTCTGAAAAGGAATATCGAGAAATTTTGCCGGAAAAAGGGAAAGATAAAAAGCTAAAACCCAAACTACCTCTTTCTGGTTTCCGTATATCGAAGCACAATCGATATGTCTGTACCCGACCTGAATTACAAAAAAAAAAAACAGTGACCTAAGCGAAAATACTGCTCGAATCGAAACCAAAATCAGATCGAAGTCGAAAATCAGAGACACGATGCGCAAAATCAGATCCAAATCGAAGTAATACCTTAATCGCTTGCTCAATTCCGGCTTCATCGACGGCGTAAGTTCCGAGACCAACGGACGGAATCTTGGCTCCGGTATTGAGCTCGAAGAATCGAATTTCTTCCGCCATGGTTTCTTCTCCAGAGAATTTAAATTAATTCATGAAATAAGAGAGATTCGAGAAAATGGATATACTCTGATACTGTGAGTGCCGGGAAAGGAGGGTAACGTAACGACAAATGGTAAATCAGTGAAGTGACACGTGTCATGAAGTTCGGCCGTAATGCTCTCTGCTAATGGGCCTATATTAATCTAAGTGACACGGGTCTAAGTTCTGTCGTAGATTTTCAATTTGGGCTGTAACGTCGATTCGAAGTGACACGTGTCATAAAGCCCGTAGATATCCACTTGGACCCGTAGTTCTAACACGTATCAGAAAGTTGGCCCGTTTTTGGGCTGTAACGCTCAGTTAATGGGCTTTAATAACTCCGAATGCAAGTGACACGTGTCCAAAAATTGGCCATGCGGCATGGTACTTCATTAAGATGTATATGATGATATATGATTAATTGTTTTTTTTTTGTATAAATGATTATTCGTTTTTATCTATGTATTGTATATTTCATATTTATTGCACGCATCCATAAAGTTTAACACGATGATCCAACAGGAAATACACTTTGATGGATCTTAATTATACATATACACAAACACACAAACACACATACAAATATATAAAAATATTATGCAAATCATATATATGTATATGGGGCTTTTAAGGATTAGTAGAAACATAAGAAATTATCAAATCTCGCCATCCCAGAAATCCTCGAGACTCTTGTGGAAGCCATCCTCGTGTATGAAGAAATCAGCCTTCATCTGTCTCTCCTGCAATTGTGACAAAAAAAAATGACACCTTTTTTTTATAAAATTAGTTTTATTATTGTCTCGGATGATTTATCCAATAAACAACAACGGCTCTACAAACATAAATAGCCTTATTAATATACATATATGTATATATATATATAAGATCTAGATTATAGGATTAACTCGTATATTATAATATATATATATATATATATATTAACATTAGTTAGATCTACTTTAAAAAAAAAAAACATTAGTGAGGTCTAGATTTGTAAAACTAATGTGTGCTCGGGAGGTTGAATAGATGAAAATTTTAGAGTTTTTAAAATCCAAAAATCAAAAAATTGATATTCAAAATTTTATAAAATTAGTTTTTTTTTTAATTGAAATATTTATTTTAGTGAAAAAAAACCAAAAACTTCATTTTTTTCTATATTTACAAATAACATAAAACAAAAACAAAAATCAAAAGTTAAAATCCAAAAACTAAAAACTAAAACCAACAACTCAAAATAAAACTATCACAATTGGTATTATTATTTTTTTTAACTAATTTACACAAAATGTCAATACGTATTTTGTTTTCAATAAAACCAAGCTAAGGCTCAATAATTTTAATAACCGAATAATAAATTTGTATAGTAAGGAGGATGGATACTTGCCTGTCGGATGTCGGAAAACAAGGAGAACAAGTCGTGGGGAATGGACCAGCCGAAAACATCGAAATTGGATTGGATCCTGGACTCGTTCGTGCTCTTCGGGAGAACGCTGTGGCCGCTCTGCAACCCCCACCGGAGAGCGACCTGAGCCGGAGATTTCCCCGTTTTCTCGGCCACCGATTTTACCAGCGGATGCTTCATCACGTCCGCATGGAAGAATGCCGTCCCCGGTGACCCCAACGGCGAATACCCCTTATAATTTCCAACAGAAAAAACAAAACAAAACAATAATGCCAATCATAATGTGTGTGTATATATGTAATAAATTTCAAACGAGTGGGTAATTAAAGGACTCACGGTGAGATGAATGTTGTTGGATTTGCAGAAATCATGAAGCTGATGCTGCTGCCAAACAGGGTGACACTCGACCTGGACGACGGCCGGAGGAACTCGAGATATTCCCACGAGATCCGACAGCTTCTTCGTCGAGAAATTACACACTCCGATGGCTCGGGCCTTCCCCGAATCGTACAGCTCTTCCATTGCTTTCCATGTCTTAGGTATGTCCGGTTTTGTGTAGCTCTCCCGCTTTGTAACATCAACTGACCCTTTCTTCATGCTCACCGGCCAATGCATCTTTTCAGCACACAAAAATGATTAATTAGGAATTATGAAGAGTTTTTGCTTATCATAATTATTGAATAGATAAATTAAATATAAAACTCTAGAACTATGCAAACGCTTCTTTATAATTGTCACGCTACATATATGAATGGGAACAATGTCTATGAATGATCCAAACTAAACAAAAAATACGTACTCCATATGTTTTTTTTTTTGTAAACCATGCAAAGTTGGTAAATATTTGATCAAACCCTAATCCTAAGAGATTAACAAATAGATATATGGTTGTTGCTTACAAGATATAAATCCACGTAATCTAGCTGCAAATCGCTGAGAGACCCATTCATGGCCTCGTGGACATCTTCCGGGGCGTGATGGGTGTTCCTGCATGTAACCAGCCGGTTTAATGTGAACCGGAATGTACCGGTAAACCATATATAGTGAAGGGAAACAAAGGAAGGAAAGAAAAGCATACCAAAGCTTGGAAGTGATCCACAGCTCATCCCTTTTCACAACGCCTTCGTCGAAGAGTTTCTTTAGCGCGTTTCCGACCTTAACCCGAAGAAATAATCGGTTAATAAAATACCGAAACCAAACCGGATGGGTTAGCATTTCAAAGGAAGTACCTCTTTCTCGTTTCCGTACAATTGTGCACAGTCAATGTGTCGGTACCCAATCTGCAGAAAATAAATATCTTTTTTATTTAAGATAACGTCTAAGTACTTATAATAAATATTGATTACAACTGGTCATTTAATTTATCATTCTAATAAATTTGTGACTTTCCCATAAATCTCTTCCCAACCCCGATCCCAAATTTATACAATATCTATAGACCTACCCCTTTTATTTGGTTTCGACAAATAAAACCCCCATATATGATGACAAAAATGGAAAATTTTGCTTGTAATATGAAATTTTCGTGTTTGATTTCCGTCTATAATAGCTTATATGGATTTGATTTGTGTTTTCTCAAAAATATAAATTACGGAATGTATTAAAATATAAATATGTCCCGGTTTAATTCGGTTTAAGAATATAAATACGGGTCTCAACAATAGTACACGGTACACCCATATTCATGGATTTTTTTTCCTGATATTGCAAAATAATAGAGAGAGAGAGAGAGAGAGAGAGAGAGAGAGAGGGAGGACCTTGACCGCGGTAACGACGGAGTCTCCGACAACACCAGGCGGTGCCTGCCACGTGCCCAATCCCACCGACGGAATCATAGCTCCTGTGTTCAGTCTGAACGACACTAGTGCATTTGCCATTTCTACAACCAAAAAAAAAAATACGTGGATCTGTCGAAATATCCAAACTTTTTCAATTGAAATCGAAAAAGAACGATACTTAAACGTCATAAGAAGAAGAAGTAGAGTTGTACGGAACCTGCAGATTACTTGGTCGTCGGACGAAGAAGATGAGTTGTACGGAACCTGAAGATATATTTTTTTTCTTTGGGTGTGAACTATGTTTTTGTGGAGGATATGTATATGTGACTCATGATTATTGTGATGAGATTCTTTAATGTATAAAGGAGTCGACATCTTTATTGTCGGTGGGTGACACCCCAAAGGACCACCCAAAGAAAAATCCGACATATGAAAACGACGTGACATGCGTTCACCAAGACAAGAAACGACACGTAGTTCCGAAAGATACCCGAACACTAGTATTGGATTAATTACCAAAATGAAAATACAAATAAATTCTCGCGCCATGGTATACGTATAATATATGTTTCATTTTATTTGCAGTTGTAAATTCTTTAAATTAAAGTAGTAAGAAGAGTTGATCACGGGTTAAATCGCTCCGATGAATGGAAAAAAAAGTAGCGTTTCTACAATATTTTTTGTTTTCGTTGTATTATTTCTATAGAGATTTTTCTCCCCATAATATTTATTTTTTTCTTTCTCAGATAACATTTATTACTTTAAATAGAGTAACTATTTAAGATTTTAGTACGAACTCGGTTCGGTTATAAAAAATATAATCATTCAGTTTTATATCAATTTCGATCCGATTCACATTTAAATTCATTTAAAAAATCAATGACAATTTGATTCTTTTGATTATTTTTTATTTGATTCGATTTGATTTAAATTCGATTTTTCGGATTTAAAAAAATTATAATCATTCAATTTTTATATAAAATTCGATTTGATTAGCTTCATATATCTTATCTTATTGGATACAATACAATTGGGCTATTATATTAACAACCAAAATGGTCACTTTCTTTAGTTTTTTTTTATCGGAGAATCTAATTGTTATCTTTCGAACGTGTTGATTAGGTAAACCTCTGGTCCGCAACCCGTCTTTGTATACAAATCTTATTAACTAAAAAATTACGTTCCTTTCTATCAAGTAGAGTCGAACACTCAACCTTGAAATACATTGCATCCTCAAATTGACCATTAGATTTATGAAGTTATTGTAATTATCAATGCACAAATTATTTCACAATAACTTGATGAATCTCAAATGTATTTTTATTTTTCTCACTATAATCGCTATCTCTTACTTTTGGATAACATAAAAGCCAACGTTTTAAATGATTAAACTTATTAACTTTAAAAAGACTTATGAAGAAAAATGTTATCTTAAACAAATACATTATTTAACATGATTGTTTTTTTCATTTTTTTATTAATTAAAATAATGATCTAAGATAGATTTTAGACAATTGCTAAAAAAAAGACAGATGATGGATTTATTTAGATGCCAATTTTTATCATTTTTGGCTTATTTTATAAATATGAAATTGCGAAAATATTTTCCACGTCAGACGGTCGCTCTCACTCCCTGTCAGTCACTCGTTCACGGACTAAAAAGTGGCAATGTTCATGGAAGGGGGAGCTTTTACACTCCAATCTTAAACAGATGCCGGAAATTTTCTACTAGGTGAGAATCTCTCCTCTCGAGCCGTAAAACCCATGGATTCCCTCCACAGGTTGCAGATTTCCCCGCCAAATTCCGTGCGGAGACAAATGTAGCTTTCGATTCTGAAAACTAGGGTTTTTTGTTTTTGCTGGTTCCTCGATTCCGTTCATCTTTTATCGCAAAATTTGTCGGGTCGGAATCTTCGAAAGCTGAGATGAAGGAGCTCTTAGGAGGTCCGGGAACGGTGGGTGGGTTGGTAATGAGAATCGGTCAGTGTGCTTCTGCTGCTACTTCCATTGGCGTCATGGTCTCTGCAAAGGACTTCGCTTCTCACACCGCTTTCTGGTAAATTTCTCCACCATTTTACTCTATTTTCTCGTTTTTAGCTCCATTTCCTCTTTGATTCTATCATTGGGTATGTCGAATTTTTGCTGGATATGTTAAAATTTGGTAGATTTTTACGGGTAAAATAACGGAATCTCTGTTGGTAATATGATACAATGTGGGTACTCATACATAATGAGTCATTTTCAGGCAACAATATGTTGATGTCTGAGAAAGGAATGTGATTTTCAGGCAACAATATGTTGATGTCTAAGAAAGGAATAGCTATTACTTACTTTGCTTGGCAATGCTGTTGGGATTTGACTTTACATAGCAACTCTCTGATCTTTCTTCCTCTCTTTCCACTTATGGAAATATGATGTTTATGTTGGTTTGGTTTCAGTTACTTGATTGCATCAATGGGTCTTCAACTGCTATGGAGCTTTGGACTTGCTTGTCTTGATGTCTATGCTCTTCGGCGCAAGAAAGACCTTCAAAACCCTATCCTTGTTAGCTTATTTGTCGTCGGCGACTGGGTATGTGCCTCTGACCATAAAGCCTCAACCTTTTCCTTGTTTCCATTGTTAGAATCCAATCTTGCAAAGTAGTTACTCAGATGATTCATTGCTTGGATTGAATCATTTCTAAGGATGATGTATGCATTCATGACAAGTTGATGTTTTGAATGTTATTGTAGGTGACTGCAATGCTATCTCTTGCTGCTTCATGTTCATCAGCAGGTGTCGTTGTCTTATATGCCAAAGATCTGAAATTCTGTGGTGCTGAGAACAGAATCCCATGTCTTAGGTATGAAGTATCAGTTGCCTTCTCTTTCATGACATGGGTTCAAATTGCTGTTTCTTCTCATGTCACATTTTGGATCTTAGCCTCTGTTTAAGCTAAAGAGAAAAAACTTTTTTTTTTTTTTTTCTGAAAATGATGCATCTTGTAGCTTATCTGACTTGATAACATTTTGTTTCAATCAAAACCTGCTAATGTTTCTTGAGTTTAACTCCTTAGATACAAAAAAAGTTTAAAAAAAGGATGGAACAGGGCTGTGGTCTGGTTTTACAAAAGAGAGTAAGTAGTAAGTGAATAAGATGAATATGAACTGTCTCATCACATGACTATCTCAGGATTCAGAATGCTAGACTTGATCTCCTTGTGAGGTAGGACTACACCTCCATTGCTGTAAACCTCATCCCCCACATGAACATCTTCCCCGAGAATCGTCATATTCTCAACCCGAGCCCACCTTCCCACGGTTGAATGCCACCCGACAATGCTACTAGAGATGCAAGCATGTTTCTTGATCCGAACCCCTCGCATTATCGTACACCTAGACAGCCTTACACCAGACTCAATCACACATCCGGGACCGATAGCCACATCGGGACCGATAAGACACCCTTCTCCTATAACCGCACTCTCGTCCACCAGAACATTCCCGATGATGTTTTCCCCGGTTGCCAGCCTTGGGGATGCCTTTTTTCTCAGCGAGTCGAGGTAAAATCTGAGTCCTGTGATGTAATCTTTGGGTTGACCAATGTCCATCCAGAAACCAGGCAGCACCAGAGCATAAAGCTTGTTCTCAGAAGCTATCTTTGGGAATATCTCTTTCTCTATTGATGTCGGCCGGAGCTGAATCCTGCCCAGAACAGATGGATTCAGGAGGTAAATCCCGGCGTTTATCTTGTTGCCCACGAAAATTTTCGGCTTCTCCACAAATTTTTCGACTTTTCCTGTAGTTTCTTCCATAACCACCACACCATACTTGGATGGCTCATCAACCTAGAATCAGTGAAAACAGTATTTACAACGTGATCGACGATTCAGTTCACAAAACGGTGAAAAAAAGGGTTCCTTTATATACCTTGGTTACCATGATTGAAGCTTCACCACCATGAGCCTTGTGAAATTCGATCATCTCTTGCAATGGATACTCACAAATAACATCACTGTTGAGAACAAAGAAAGGTTCACCAGATTCATCAAACAGCTTATCCCGAGCAAGTGCAAGAGGCCCTGCTGTTCCAAGTGGTTCAGTTTCCTGAGAACATGTGATCTTTATCTCGAGTTTCTTCTCAAATTCTTTCAGAAAGTTCAACATAACCTGAAAACACCAACAGGAAATCACATGTAGCAGAGGACAAGAAACCAAATTGTCTCCTGCATATGTTGTGTTTCTGAGCAAAAGTACCTCTGGTTGGTAGTTGATAGCCAATACAACCTCAGTCACTCCAGCTGCTTTAAGCGCTTCGATCTGGTCATTACACAATCAAGAACTGGTCACTACACTTGAAAGTCTAAACCTTTAATATGTTCCATACTTCCAGATATGTTGGATTTAGAGACAGAATCAGACACTTGAACAGGCATGGTTTGGATAATGCATCATAATCAGCAACAGACAAAGCTAAGTTGGTGAAGATCCAAGAAAGGAAATGAAATGAAATGGAACCTAACCTGATGCAAGATCATCGGTTTGTTAGCGAAATCAACCAGTGGTTTAGGCATGCTGAGCGTCAGCGGCCTCAATCGGGTCCCGAATCCTCCAACGAGAATAAGAGCCTTCATTCTGCAAAATCTTCAGATTCTCTGCCTTCCTCTGAACATTATGGGAAGGGAGAGAAAGAAGAAAGAAGCTTTAGATTGCATCATTTCAAGTTTTGAAAACAATGGAAATGGAAACTAAACGGAGCAAAATGCCAATACAGATATGCTGATCTGAACACTAATCGCAACAGATCTAGATCCAAATTTGTATACCCAATACAGAATTCAAGTACAAAATCATCAGAAATGGTGTACTTGAATGGATCATCAAGTTCATCACTGAATCGAACTCGAAAGAATCAACAAATGGAACTTCTTCTCCTAACCAGATCGAAAAAACCCAGAAAACGAAGAGCAATTCCACCGCGTGAGGAGATGAGTACATATAATCCAAATCCAACCCTTCAATTCGATCCCAACCCATCACCAACAATCACAAGTTATTCCCAGAAACAACAGTAAAAGATCGAACAAAAGTTACTACTGCATCCTCGGGACCCAGCGAGTTGACCCGTGAAGGCGACAAATTTCAGCTGGAGAAAACGACAAACAAATCAAGGGTTCGACGGAATCCATCGAAACTCACAGTGAAAAGACTTTGGCTGCCGCCGAAATGCCTCGGATCTGGTCGGATTGGCGTTGTATCAGAGAGAATTTTCAGGCATGTCTGCTTAAATAGAGAAGAGGAAACGGTCTCTTTGAGGGTTTCTGAATCAAAGAGGGAGAGAGACTGTGTTTTCTTCAGGAACGATCAAAGAACTTCAACTCCGCGTACGCGTTTAGCCAAACTAAGCAATTAGACTAAATTCATAGAAAAATAATATTGTTTTAAAAGAAATAAGCATTTAATACACAGATTTTAATTATGAGACAATACATATACATATATCTATTAGAAATTTTGAAGGATGATAGTGGTTTAGATGAAAATAGCATAGTAGGTCCAAAAAATGGTAATTATCTCATGAACGTAAATAAAATTTTATACAAAATTGAAAAAAAAATAGACGAACCAAATATTATAATAATAGATATTGAGGGGTTTTGCCGGTTTAAGCAAAGATTTGCTGGCTAATGGAAACACCTTACCCAATTTACAAAAATAAATAAATAAATTGTTACACACGCACGTGTGTATATATGTATATGTATATATATTTCCAACTCCTGTAAATATTTTGTGCTCTAAAATTATGTATTTTAATGATTTAGATGGAAAAAAGCATAATAGCTCAAAATTTGGTATCATTTCATGAAATAAAACCAACTTAATAATATTGTAATAATAGATATTTTTCCGCCTTGAGGGTTTTTGCAGGTTTAAGCAAAGATTTGTTGGGTAATATAAACACCTTACCAGTATATAAAAACTAAATATTTAAACATATATATATTCACAATCATTACCAACTATGTAAATATTCATGTAAAAAAATTAATTGCCCGTTTGGCAATACCTAAAATTTTATTAAAAAATCAAATGTGGAAGAACATCTTTACTTACAATTTCTTATAATGTTCACAATTTTTTTTAATAAAAAACACAAAAAAAAACATGAAAACCGTAAAACCCCTTTTGGTTTTAACTTCACACTTGGACATTACTAAAATTATTCCCTTACTCAGTCGGCCCATTAAAGGCCCAAACTACAAACCCAAAGACCAACACCAAGGCCCAAGCCCAACATATAACAACACGAAGTCTAATTTTTTTTTGTTAAAAAACACGGTCTACAAAAAGCCTCCACACGCGCGTCTTCACCTTTTTCTTCAGGAGCGCGTGAGAATCACGTGGCGACCCGACGACAAACCGGTGATTGGATTTGGACGTTCGCCGAAACGGCAATCGTGGCCGTCGTATCGACGGGGTCGGACGACGTCGTATTGGTGGAAGATCCATGATCCGAAACCTGAAAATCGGGTCGTACGATCCGACCCGAATCTCCAGGAAGCCTGACGTAGCACGGAGATAACGGCGTTTCGTCGCCGTTACGGTATTGCATGACGGCTCTGTACACAAATGGAATAAGACCCTCCATGATCGTTTAGAGAAACCCGAATCTCAGAGACAAATTGGATTTGATTTTATAGTAGATGTAAGAGAGAGAATAGCTTCCACGTGGCTTTATATCATTGGTTGCTGCACATTCAAGCCATGCCACGCAAGCACATATATATAATATTTATGAGAGTGAAAAAGAGAAGCAACCCTTTGATTTGAATGTGAAAATTGGCTGCACGAAGAGGTTGAAAGGTACTTCCAAACTGAAAAAAGAAAGAAAGAACAGAGAGATTATATGTTTTTTTTTATTTTGTTAATCTAACGTAGTAGTTCATACTTTAATTTATATTTTATATAAATTAGAATTTAAAATATATACATGTTAGAGGAGCGAGATTACATCATTAAACATATTTTAGATATTATTTAATTGTACTGATTTTAAATTAGAATTACTAATCTACGAATTTTTTTCAATACATTTGTTAGAGGATGACGTTGGTGGGAAAATACAAATAACAAATGTGTACCAAATGGTTCGCGCAATCAATTGATTGCGCCCTCTTTATTACGTCTGCTTAATTAATTAATTTTTTAAATCATTCTATCCGGTTGTTGGCCACGACGATTTACCGAAGCTTATTGTGATTGGACATTTTTTTGGGGGGTAGAAATGTAATTGAATCTCCAATTTAATAACGGCTGATTTGTGTTATATATACTTATATTTAGAATTCATGTGTCATGCAACACACAATCTATGAGCGTCCATGCATGTTAAGATATTTAAATACATGGGGTAGTTGAGTTTTTTTTTCTTTCGAAAATGCTTTTTGTTTGGTAAAGAAGAATATAAGAAATTAAAATATGCATGTAAAAAAGAGATTGGACTAATGATTTAATTATTTGTTCTTATAATATATATAAATATATAATTTGAAACACAATTTATAGTATTTATGGATTATAATTTAATGATTACATCAAACTGACAAAATAAAGAAATAAGAATATGCGTGTACGCGTTACTGAAATAGGACATAGCAAAGCATAAAGAGAGAATATGTTTTATTTATAAGTATTATGTGCTGTGATATTATATATATATATATATATATATATACCCGTTCCGTCCATTTGGTTTTATTTAACTTGGTGCGTCGTGAACTACATGTATTTTTGTGGACCCTACGATTTTAAAAAATGGAATATAAGACGAGATGTATTATGGTAGAGCGGGCGTTTCGTTATTATTTTTTATTTTTTCGGGTTTATAAAAATATATATTGTTATTATATTATATTCGCTTTGATTTAGTTTAAATTTTTATTAAAAATTTATATTTAAAAAAAATAATTTTGGATTATTTAAAATTTGATTAAGTTCTATTCGATTTTGAAATTTTCAATTTTAAAAAAAATCGTTAAAAATTTTAAACGATCGATCGGAGAATGATACCGAATTTTTCGGTTTAATACGATTTGATTCTAAAACAGTACTGAAATCGTTTATTGCTATGGTATGCCCAAATCAATATAAACAGAACATATATATATATATATATTCGATTATACAAAGTGAAATTGTCAATTTTTATAAAAGTCACTTATTATATTTGCTCGGTGCTAAGTGACAGAAGATCAAGAAGAAGTCAGATTATCATTATGTACAACTGACCTTGTTTGGTCAAAACCCATGTATCGAGACATCCTGTCTAAACAATGTGCAAAAACAATCATATTATATATATATATATATATAATTTAGCTTGTTTGATGGAGATAACGCTGCTCTAAATTTTTTGCAGGATTTTTTTTTATTAAGAGTTTTTTCAAATAAAAATATCTAAAAATTATAAATAATAATAATTAAAATATTTAATGTTTATAATTACATTATTATCAATATTTATAATTATTGGTAAACATTAAGATTATAAAAATGATAAAAAAAAAATTATAATGATAATATTGAACTAGATTAGATATAAAAAAAAACAAAAATGATAATTATTTTTTGATCTTTTGGATTGCTTATTTTTATTTTCATTGATTTTGAACATTAATTTAGTAGAAAAAATTTAATATATTTGAATTATAAATTTTTATTAAAAAAAATTATGTTCTCACGTGCCACACTAGGATTTTGAATTTTAAAACCCTTTTTGTTTTTGCCGTTTTACAACTAAATTCACGGTCGCCAAATACAAAATAAACACAAAATTTTTGGTAAATTCCATATCCATGTTAAATATGATGCATCTTTTTCCGTGATCTTCTAAAATTTTTGGATAAAAGGAAAAGTATATATATGGGTACTCTTGGCAAACGTATTATACGCTAATAAGCCCGTGGATATTGAGGTTCCACAAGCGGTAAAAATTACTTAAAGGGAATAACTGCGCCAAGTGCTATTTTTATTCAGGGTTTTGTAAGTTCCAAAACGTAAGGAAGACTTGTTCCCTACATTGCTTTCCAACACAGGACAGTCAACGAGCAAATAACAAAACACTGTATCATACAACATTTTCTTAATTTGTAACGCCTTCTTCAAACCCAAAACACAAATACAGCACGGATACGTCGAGAAATTCTAGACCCCGGAAATAATCGGAAGACACAAAACTAAAAACAGAACGGGGTGGGTATGTACATAAATAAACGTCATGTTAACTAAATATTTAGGGCCATTATAACCATTCAGAGAACTCTTTTTTTTTTTCCTGATAAGGCCCCCTCCCAACAATTTGGTTTAGGGTTCCCATTCACTAGCCCTAACAAAACTGTTAATTTGTTGTTTGTTGTCTTACGTAGGGATATGGGAGAGGAGTAGCGTATGCCACCATCCGCAAGCGACGTTTCTAAGACTGCTGCAACCGCTGAGATGAACCTGCGTTGGTATGTTGCGGTCTATTGTGTCCCCGACTCCCAGCTGTCCACAGCCCATACCCACGACGAGAGAGGGCGGTTAGTTTGCATATACGCTTTTGAAAACTTAACAGAGACCGAACCGCTTCTAATATAAAAACCGAACAAATATAGTTTTTCAAAACAAATAAATAAAACAAACTCGAAAATAACCAATGAAACCCAAACTAAGGCTCTGGATGGGGATGGTCAACCCTACCTGAGTTGAATTAGAAGAAGTTAAATCTAAGTGAAGGCGTGTACCTGTCCGTATTTGTTCCAACCCCAACACAGCAACTGTCCATCTTCTGCATAAATGGCAACATGATTTAGTTATCGCATGTTTCATTAATGCTTCACGACTTCTTCGAACTTACTGTAGGAAACTACGGAGAACATCACAATTACAAGCACAATTTTCCAAAGCTGATAGCGGGGGGTGGGCATTTGAGCTCGGTCCTAACCGATGAGATATATTTTTTTGTAAAATGTGAATCTAACCGATGAGATATTAAAACCGAATGGGTATGATTGTTCTAAAACCAAAAAACCGAACCCGAATCCAATATAAAATAAAATACAACTGAAAATAACAGGAAACTTCTTTGGAAAATGAACAGTTTTATCAAAGAAACCGAAACCGAAATGCCCAACCCTAGCAGACTTGCATATATTCATCTCCCTTGAAATCGGGACGCATGAGGTAAAACTAAGACAAAAAGAAAAAGGAACCTTTCTGGATAGGGTGGAGCATTCACAAGTAAGGCTCTTTAATTTCTTGAAAAAAACACAACTGAAAACACAATCCCAAGTTATACGAGCTCAGTTTAGTTTCCAATTTGCCCCCTTTCAGTGATTATGGAATCTGAAAAACAATACCTGCCAATATGGCACTATGCCGAGCGCCACAGCTAACTACTTTTGCTTGTTTACTCTCTAAACTCTGTGAATCCAACAACCTCGGTACTGTCTGAAACCGAAAAGTGAGAAGATTCAGCCGAGAGAAAACCCGAAAATTCACACACAGTGAATGCAAGGAACTTTACGGGTATTTTCGCTGCAAGAAGAAGTTACCTCGACATGATCAGTGCCAGTTCCCAACTGTCCGAACTGATTTCCACCAAAGGCATAAACCCGACCTTCATTTGAGATACAAAGAGTATGCCACAACCCGGCTGCTACACTCTCCATCCGAACACTGTGTACTGATGAAACAGTAGTTGGTCTTAACTGATCATTTGTGCTTCCATGACCACACTGAATGCAAAGAAAACTAATTAGATTATATCTGAGTCCAATAAGTAGAAACGCACAAAAAGGAAGGAAAAGCTTCAAAGCCAAAGTTGCGTGCGAACAAGTCGCATGAAAAGTCATTAGCAGGAAATGTTTCACCTGTCCATAGAGTCCCCATCCAAATGTAAGCAATGCTCCAGCATCTGCAATTAGGGGAAAAAACTATTGAAGGATAGCGAAGCTTAAGTTAAATATTCCTTTCAGGCCAAGCCTGCAGTGGAACAAACATTATCCTCTGTAAGCCAATTGATAACTGACCTGTTATTGCCGCACTGTGACGTCCTCCACAAGCAATTGCTTTTATGTACTTTCCAGGAGCTTTAGAAATCTGAGCAGATGGATTAGATGTTCCTTGATGGATAAGGAAAGACCTTTCTTTTCCAGAAATGGGTGGTTCAAGACAAGGTATCAGATGAGGAGATGACACCATTTTTATCCGCGAACCCAATCCTAGTTGCCCTTCACCTCCATAGCCCCAACCCCAAACCTGTCCTATATCTGAAACTTCGGCAAAAACATGATGATGAATAAGGTGTCTCACTTTATATCAATAATCTTCCAAATCTTCACACTTCACTGAACCTATAAAACTACATGGTGTGACTTGAAGAGAGCAGCTCCACTCTGAAATTAAAAACAACTTGTCAACTTTACCTGACAATGCCAGAGTATGTCGACCACCAGCTGCAACACTGGTGATCCTCACTCCAGGACCAACAGTCACAAGGGAAGGCGTTGTGGAAAAGAAGTCCTCACCATGTGTAAAGCCTTCAGCTTCGTCTTTGGCCGATGACACCCGTCTTCTCTTTGCTGATTCCTCCCCAGACTTTTTGTTTTCGCTTTGTAATGTCATACTGCTGGATGTATTCGAGCCTTGTGACCTTGGACTCACTAACAAAGATTCGGAACATAATGACCATTAAAATTAAACTCGATTTCGGTAAGAGGGTTCTCTTGTTCCCATACAATGACATTCATCACTGATCAAAAGCCATAGTACTAAAATTCAAAATATCCAAAAAATCACCTTCACCAGAACCGCT